ATGAATCTTTGAATTGTACGTTTTTCCGATTTGACTCTCAGGCAACGATTCGACTATACTGTACGCCTTCACAATGGAGAGTGACCGGTTGCCTCGATCTAGGCGGATGTTCGATTTTCTAACGAACATTCTCGAAACCATTTTTAGGAGCACCGTAGTCCACGTGCTTCCGCTAATAGTACAGACAACATCCACCAGGGCGCATGCACGGCCGGTACATCCAGAAGCTGGCGCGCTCTCGCGGGTGCCGTCTTACAAGACAAGTACAAGCTGAACAGCAAGGGACTAAAGATCGAGCGTTGCGGTACACTCCTGGTAGTAGTTCTAGATTGTATGTGAACACCGGAGATATAACCCTCCAGGTTTCTAGACGAGACAACAGAAAATACGAAGTTGACAATAGACTCGGGAAAACCCAGTCTGCGTAGTATAGGGAGTAACACTTCAGGGACCACGTTATCAAATGCCCCCTCGATATCTAAGAAAGCTGCGCCTGTTAACTGACGATTATTATTAGCAAGTTTCACGTGAGATATGAAAATAGCTAGGTTATCTATGCAAGACAGGCCACGTCAAAACCCGAACTGATAGGGAGCAATTAAGTTGTTGTGCTCAGACCACCACTCCATGCGTCTTTGAACTATCTTTTCCAATAACTTAAGTAAGTTGTTGGCAAGAGAAATAGGGCGGTACGCTCCTTTCATTCCCGGTTTGGGAATAAACACTACAAAGTAGTTTTGCCACTGAGCAGGATATACCCTGGACTCCAACATAATGTTAAACAGCTTGCAGAAGCAGGAGTGTAACACAAGTGGAAAATGAGAAATGACTTTATTGGAAGATCTGGGCCAGGAGCCGATTTCATTTTAACTGAGTTGGCTACAGAAAGATATTCTTCTAAGCTGACACGTGCAGAGAGCACAGAACTATCCACTGAGCCTGCCACGGCTGAGACGCACTCCAAGAGATTGGTGTGATTAGGTACAGGAATCTGATGAGTAGGAGCGATTTTATCAAATACCGTACAGAAGCTGTTCATATCTATATTATTCCTATTGTTATCAGAACGCGAGTAGTTCCTAGCATGGGAAAAGGCCTTAATAGTGCTCCAGACTGAGCCAATATCCGAGCGTGCATGCAAGAAGCCACAGAAAGACCGAAAGGCCTTCCTTTTCTTTGTACGTAGGAATCGTGACACTTCTTTGGAGATTTTGATGTACGACGACAGATTGGCAAGACAGGAGTGGTTTCTGAAGATGGTAAACGCTTTTCTCTTTTTTTGGATCTCACAAGAGCATGTGTCATCCCACCAAGGTGTAGGCGGCTTTCGGGAGGGGCGAGAACAACTAATGACCTTAGCGCCTGACGCAACAAGACTGTCTAAGATCAACCGAGTAAGATGATTATACGTGGTATCTACACCATTATCCGCTACAATTTTGTCCAGATTTGAAGAGTATTCTTGAGAAAACTGAACACAAGACTGTTGGGAGGCGTTCCAGTCGACTGCTTTTAAAGATATGTAGAGATGGCAAGAAATAGAGCCTGTATACCTGTTGTACACACAGATATAAACCGGATAGTGGTCGCTACCGTGACTACACTCATCTCCACTAGCAGTTTAAGACCAGTTCAGGAGAGGCCAAAGTGATATCTAGCGTCGATTCGTTGGAAAGGTCAGATGAAGACCACGTTCTGTTGCCGTTATTCAAAACCGACCAGACAGAATTAGTGATGGCTAGTTCCAACTTTCGTCCTTCAACGTCTGTGCGGATCCAAGGGCCACCCCAACAAGGGCTTTTTTCATTAAAATCTTCACAAATCAGAGCCGGTTCAAACTTAGAGCTCAGCTAAAGAAAAGAAGACCAGAAGTTAGCGTCAGTGGTCTAGTTTCCACCGAAACCTTCAATTCGGTTTCACTCCGGTACGGATTAAATTTAGTGTTCCGTTTCCATTGGAAGTAGAATAGAAGTGAGAAAAATTGATATTTCAGTAGAGCCAACTCAAAACTCGCTTGTGTAAATATAAACAGACATGACCTGAAAAGAATATAATCCGAGAAACTTCTAACCTAACCTAACCTTAATCAATAGTCCCAATGCTAATTTGCAGTCCAGCATTAATATCACAGCACACTTTCTCACTATAAAAATTATATAATTCGCTAGAAATAAAAATGTTGGCAGAAAAGAGAGTATTTTCCCATTAGAGCATGAATATTTCCAGTGTAAGTTGTTTGGCTTTTTCTTCTAAAACTTTTTTTTCTGTAATCCGAGTAATCTCCACTAGTGCCTCTGCTGCCATTATCTCTACATGATTTTTTTCTTCTAATTTTAGCATGGTGAAGAGCGGTGTTTGGACTAAAGAATCTCCTAAAATTGTCGTTGAAATTTGACAAGGATTTAGACCCGGTTTCACAATTCGCGATTAACTCGAATTAACCGAAGTTCGACTTGCTGAGCTCGGTTTAACGCGTTCAATCTTCTTTGTCAAATCTTCGCTAACCAATCACAGTTCATGTTTAGGAAGAAAAGATGCGTTACGCCGAGTTCAGCAAGTTGGGCTTCCGTTAATTCGAGTTAACCGTCAATTGTGAAACCGGGCCTTAGTGCAGCAACCTTAGCACATAAAGGTTTTGGTGAGAACAAACTGGACATCCTTATGCCTTTATCATAGCCTAATAACTGACGATGCGAAGGCTTTTTCCATTCTTGAAAATGACTTGTTTTTGATGTGGCACTCTCAGGAGAATTAACAAAATGAACTAAAGCATATATGTGTTTACACTTCCCAGATTGGCCGGCTATACAAAAACATACAGCATTCGTAATATTTCTGTTACAATCCAGCTACAAAATTGAAGTTATTCAATTATTTATTCGATCATAATTTTAAGTGTATATAATTTCATAAATCATGAATAATTTTTTAATACATACCGTTACTTTCACATCATAAAGCTTTGATATATCAGTCTGAGCTATCACTTTACTTGAAATACTTGTGTATGAACTGTATCTTCTGTCTCTACGACATTTAAAACATGTCCCGATTCAAATAATTTTTTACCTTTAATGTCATTTTGACCTCGTATACGATCGTTATTTATCGGACGAAAACCGTATTTTATAATTTTTATCATTTTTGTGAATAATGCTTATTATTTGCTATATAATTGTCACCACAATAATGTAACAATTAGACACAAGAGAGCGCGCGCATCAGAAGTAGTAGTGCCCTCTATAGTTCACGCACAGTCCCTATATTATTTATTGTTTTTTATTAAGTACATAATTATTGGATTATACTGAATACCCATTTACAATTGAAAAAAAATTTAACTATTTTAAGCTCAACAATAGATTTATATATTTTCATATATTACATGTAAATAAATTTATAGAAAGATTGGTAAATTTCCAACGTACATTTGCACATTGTTAACAACAATAATATGTATGTATATTACAAATGTATATTACAAATGTATACGACAAAAAAGTAAGGCAAATAAAATCTGTCTGGTAGATTTATGAAAAAAAAATATCAGAGTAACATCCATACAAGAGATATTTTTGTAGTAAAAATATCTGCAGAAAAATTAGAAACTGCATTGATAAACTTGATTGAAACAACATGTAAATATATAAATTTATGATTATATATCCGTATAATTAATTTGTACGTAGTTTTTCTAAATAAAAATACCCAGCAAACAATTTCTGACTGCGCAGACCTGGCACCAGAAACTGTGTGCAAAAACGCTACAATACGGAAACATACTTTGTGTGCTGCCAAAGCTGTTGACACACAGACACAAAAAACGCAACATGGTCACCAAAACTCACCAAAACCATATCCTACTGAGGACACAGATGGATATGGATTTGATGTGGCGGTTGGCGACAAAATCGCGACATCTGACAACCAAATTGTTTGCTGGATATAAACTATGTTTACAAAGTATGCGTGATGTATATACATGCGAGTACACGATAGAATAAAATTTTCTATATAAAAAAAAAAAGAAATGTAGTTACAAAATGTCAAATCTCCAGAAAAGCTCGTTTATCTTTCACGTGCAGAGTGCACTAATCAAACACTAATCGCTGAGGATCAATATCACTGGTATGGCGGTGATGGCGGTGATAGAGAAGCAGCTTTACACGGCGTGATCGTTTACGACAGGAGGAAAAAAATGGCATGCAGTATTTCTCGCCGGTCGTTGACGCGACGAAGGTGTGCCTGCGTAAGGCGTTTTCACCAGGTGACAGCTCAGTGTCAGGAATTACGTTAGTCAAAAAAGAGGGGAGATTCCTTGTTGACGGGAGGAGTATACGGCGCATTTTGTGAGACAGAGAAGAGCTGGACTTATTGAAACCGATTGATACTCGCACACGCTACACCACGACAACATAAACAATCACCATGGCGAAGTACGATCCGCGTTATATAATAATATATAGTTATCTAATTAAAGCGTACACACACGCCGACGATAGAAGGCATACTCGGCAATAGACTTTTATTTACTTTCCTGATTTTATAATTGCAACTGTATTGTACAATGATTTTCCGCGAGTTTCTAATTTCTTCACAAAAAAAAGTATAAACACAAAAGCACTCTCCAAAGATAATAATTATCTTGATGTAAAACGTGTGTTTATCCAGCGTATATAAGCTATTGAAACACGCACTGTGAGCAGACTGACTACAAAACAATCAAGTTTTATGATATCACTTGTAAACTTAATCTTATCTATTTCAATATATTTTATCGTTTGTACTTTCTGGTTCTTTTAATCAACCGTCATTCACTTTAAGAAATGATCTTACTTTAGTTATGTGCTAAAAGTGATAAATTTTTTGCAGAAGAATCTTCTGCTACTTTTATTCAATTTCTTTACAATGAAACACTTGAAAATATTCTTGCAATTATTGCTTAAATATTTAAGTAGATTAATTTCCTGGGTAAGAGCTCTACAAAAGCTAATATCAAAAACTAGAAAGTGATTCTTTTTTTTAACAATATTATTTATAATATTTATATTTCCTATATTTTTGTTTTGTTAAATTTTATTGTAATAAAATAGAATTTTTACTGTATATTTCAGTCTTATATCTGACAAAGATTCTCTATTAAAGTTTTTTTTGTTGCACAAACTGGAATTAAGTTTTTGTTTTCAGAGAGATGATGATAGTGTTTGTTTATGACACTGCAAAATGTTGTAAAGAGGAGGATGACCCTGCTGAAGCAGTTATGTACTTTCATCCAGCCTGGGTATCTCTCACACAGAGACTGGCTCTAGCGGGGCAGCTGATGGGTGTGCACCATTTTCTGACAACGTCATTTTCAGCACCTCACTGCATCACATTACAAGGTGGAAAATTTGTGTTAAAGAGATTTGGGCAGTATGTGTTGGTGAGTTGCTGTTTGTTTTTTTTTCCATATATGTGTTTCTTATTTATTTAATATCTTTAATAATTGATAAACATTATCTAGTAACACCATTAATATTTAATTGATATTGTTGATAGGCAGTGGGAACTGACAGAAACATACAAGACTGGATACTCGAAAGACGCGCTGATATTCTGGAATCGTTGTTAAAATTCTTTCACTGTGATTTCGCCAACATATTGGAATCTCTCAGTAATGATCGCAACAGGTTCACTGAGAAACTGTATCAGATGTTTGAGACTTATCTACCAATTCTTCAACATAGTGCCAATCTATTTTCTAATATTCCTGTTATTAAACTTCCAAAGGTCAGTGACAGATAACATACATGAGTAAAGAATCAAGATAGAAAAAATAAATAAAATATTACTTTTTTCTAGAGTGCTAGTAACATATTCCTAGAAGCAATGCAAGTGTTACAGCAATGTCAAGAAATAAATGGCATATTAGGTGGCGCATTGTTTTATAATAACAAGTGCGTGAAACAAATATTTTATATAGAATAGTTTTATTTTATGTCTTATTCTCAAATGCACCAATACTTGCAACTATTACCATTATTTTGTTATTATTACTTTGTGGATTATCTTGTCTTTATTAATATTTCTTTTCTCAGGATAGTTTCAACTCAGCTAGGTGCAGACTTGACAAAACAAATCGTCATAACCGACCCTTATAGGATAAAGGTATATTGTGCTTTCAATAAAATTTGATGTGTTTGCAGGAAAAAAATCAATAATTTATTATGTTCAAAGGCTCCCGCGGACAAGATACCAACGGAATTTCATCTACCCATTGGTGTACAATTACTACAAGTGTACGTGGAACGGAAACAATTCGCAAAGCTGTTGCAAGAAGCAAATAATGAGCGGTATTACAATTCGTGCTTAGATGTTGTGACTAAAAAGATATTACAGCGAAAGGTACGTGCGTGATGAGGCGGTAAATTTTAGTTTCGATTATATATATCTTTTTGATCGAAATGTGATGCCAGTTTTTCTGCATATTGACGAGCTTTAATTTGACAAACTTTTAGAATGTATCCAAGAGCAGCATTAAGGAACCTCCTCCCACATTAGGTATGAAACGCGACACTTCGCGGATCTTTACTGTTCCCGAGGAAGGCGAATTGGATTCCTCGAATTACCCGTTGGTGCAGCAATATGTGCCATCAGTGCCGCTTGTTCCCAACCACGAGTCGCCAATACGACGCAAGCAGGAAATCAAATTGGAACGTTCAAAAGCTACTACTATCACTACCAATCCACTTACGCCTAGTGTGTGTGCAACACCGTTGAAAGACGTAGACCGAGTGCTGCATGAAAACGCTATGCTCATTTGTTCGTCCGAGAGCGGCGGCGAAAATGACGAACACCGAAGCTCATTGAAAGACAACAACGACGATATTCCCGACGTTGTTAAAGAGGCACTCAGGTGTGTTTATTTCTAATCATTAAAAGTATTTGTATTTTCTTAAATAAAAATTATATACTTTGTGAACATAAGTTCAGTTTGTTACAATTCTCTGAACTCAAAGTAATTTGAATGTTGGCTTTTATTGTCTACAACAGATGTAAACGTTTAAACAAGTTGAGAAATGCTACCTCGAAGGAAAAGTTGATAAAGAAGCGAGAATCCGATAGGAAGAGTGTAAGCCTGCCAGATCTGACATCGTTGATTAAACCACGTTTGAACGATGCTCCTAGGATTTATCGACTAGAACTAGATAAAATGTAAATATTGATAATTCTCAAACGTACAAGTACACGACAGTTGCGCGTTTATCAAATAGTACAGTCAAGTTGATTGATATCCTATTTTTATTACAATTTTCACATTATTTTTTATCGTTTTGTTCTGTTACTAACTTTTGTTATTATGACAGAGTATTTAGCGAAATTTCTCCGGATGACCGTGACGTTAATTCGCCCGAACGAAAACTTGCTTCTGGCAGAAATAAGCGACACTCACGCTCCATCACAGATCCCTGTTTTCCTGTTTTTCGCTACGATGGTCTACCAGTTTCTCAATCGTTATATGAACAGTATGTTGCCTCGCACTGCGAAGAGTTGCGTGATGATGGCCGCAACTATAAGCGTCACGATGATAGTAACAATCTTCAATTGAAAAACTTGTCGAGCAACCTGACAAGCTTAAAAATGTCTACGAACAACAACAGCAACGTCGTAACAAACACTTGTGAAGGTATGTCATTTAATTAGCGTCAAGAAATAAGTTCGAAGAATCTTACATAAACGATACACGAAGAATCTTTAGTAATCGCATAGAAAATAGTTTTTAATTTAATTTTAATTGCTGTAAAATACTTGTTGGAAACGTTTGCTTTACATGTGATGAACGTTTAGAGCGCGTCAAGCCCAGCTGTCCGTATGACAAAAACAAGCAGGAGACGTACAAGAGATCAATGAGTTTGCCGCTGAAGCCGCTCAATGTTGTCGCCGAAATACATAACGGAGATGATCGACGAAAATCGACGTCCGAGTGCGGTGGTGGTAGCTCGTGCGAGTTTCCTCAGAGACGGAAGCTGGACGGTCTGCAGCTGACGCCACTGATGTCAAAACTGAGCCTGCTGGCTGACGAACGTACCAGCGGCTTCTGTAGTCGCGAAACTACACCGAGTGAGTTTCGTGATTTTTCCGGATTTTCCGGCGGTGCAGCAGCTACCACGGCCGCCGCCACAACGATATCGACAACAAATCAATTCATTAGGCAGAAACTAGAGTCAGTTGAAAAGGAAGAGAGTGACGGTGAGGACGAGCTTGACGAAGACTGGATTAACAACAAAAACGAATCTGCTGCCTGCTTGGAAAAAGCAGAGCTTTTTCTCTGCGGTTATCAGAATATGGTGCTGGTGCTGTTGATGGAAAACGGTACTGCGAACAATCCGGAGTTGATACACTCTTTGGTGAGTATAAATATTATTTTTTAGTGAGTATGATTATCAATTCTTAATAAGTTGGATAAAACAGTAGTGAAAATAATACATGAATGTTCTTTTATACACACAGACATAACTTTTATAATCATAAGTACTTTCTTTTGATGTACAGTGGCATACTTGCGTAAGTACGTTAGGTAAACTCGAGTCGCGGCTGCAGCAATGTCTGGAACCATTACCGTCTACGGAAAACAAAGAGTTATACAGTATTCTAAACGTAGACTCGCAGTGGGATACGGTGCAACGTTCCGGACTCTGGGGTGTTACCGAGTTAGACATTGTGTCCTGTCTTCACGACAGATTTAAGCAAACGAGCAGTTTAACGGACATCATTGTTAGGTAATTATAATGACTCTAAAAAATCAAGACAAGTTGAATTTTATTTTTTCATTCAAATCTTGCGCTTGAATTATCTTCTTTTTTCTTTGTCAATTACATATTAGATGTATGCAAAAGGTTTAGTCTATTTTTCAGCTCCCCAATAAAATTACTATTTTAAATTAATATTTACCCGTCGTTTTGTATTTTTGTAAAGTGGCAAAAAGTTATAGGTTATAGGTTATTATTTATAGTTATATAAATGAGGAAAAATATATTCCAGATTGATTTGTATTTTATAACTAAGAGGATACTGGAAGGTTTCTGTTGTACCGATCGAGCGAGTAATTCGTATCTTAGATTGCATTTCGTATTTATTGTTCGGATAGAAAAACGGCTCTATAGAAAAAAAGAAAATAATGAAATTAATCTCGGGTTCTTTTCAATATATCGAATATTTAACAAAAATTTTTAAAGTTACAATCATCTCTACTTTTATTTATACTGACATTTAAAGTTTAAGAGTTATGCATGAAAACCAAAAAGTATCCGAGATAGACATAATATTCAAGAATGTAATGAGACTGGTAGACTACGATTTGGAAGCCTACAATAAACAAACAATCTATAATACGTTTAAATCTAACATAACCTCTTTTTACACATATATATCCTTATTTCTCTAACGACGCTTTATAGTTGATGTCACTTGTATCGGTAACAGTAGTCACGATATATAGGACAGTTCAGGACTCTCTTAACAAGTAAACAAAAAAAGACTAAAATTTTTGCATACACCTGATATATTCTTTTATAACAAAATTCTTCCTTCTTTGATCTTTGATATTTGGAATGTATTAAGAAATGATATTTCGTTTTCTTTGTTTTATACAGAACGGAAGACACGGTAGTTTACGGCAATCAATGCGGAGGAGTAGAAGTGTTCTATCAGCAAGCGGTGGCGCCGAGTTCTTTCGCGGCTCTTCCTACGCCGGCGGATTTGATGGGGATCGTGGCTCTCAAGGCAAAGCGTCGATTGGAAAGAGATCACGGAATCGTGCTGTTGTAAATCCAAGATTGCGCGTTATTTTTTTTTTCAGAAAAAAAAAGAAACGAAAACTAGCGCATATGTCCCCCAATTTCGCTTATTTATTCTCGGGAGAAAACAGATAAGTTCGACACTTCCTGGTGTCTCTTGTACTATATATCACAAAGAAAAAAACGGAACGTTTTATTATATCTTTGACCGAAATAATTAATAATTTTAACAGCGGAAAAAAAAAGGTATGGAACATTTTTCTAAATGTATTTTTGTAATCTGTAATTTTCCAAACGTATTGAACATAATTTTCGGGTAAATTGGCAACGAGCAAAACAACTTTTATATGTCGCTCTGCAATGTACTTATATAGTGTATACAATCCAAATACCAATTAAGCAATTTATCAAAGCAGCAGATTCTTCATCGACTTGTGTTTTATCGTTCACATCATTTCGGAGATAAATATTATACGGTGAACAATTATTTGTAGGACATGTACGTTACGGTATTGTGTATGAGATGTCTAGTGAAATCGAGTCATAGACACGCAACAGTTTTTCCTTTTGAAACTTGGAAGCAATCCCAGCAGAATTCTCAACATTCTCGATTTGTGGACATCTTGTATATATAGCCGACATACTGTACATATATGTACACATGTAACACGTTATTAGTAATTTATTTGCATTTTAATCAAGCGCTAACGCGCCTTAGTAAGGCGCGCTCAGTTTTATTAGAGAGAAAATAGTTGAGAATAATGTCCGCATAAAAAAAAAGAAATCAGTATTCCACGAACGCGCTTCGTCCAGTATTTCTAGTCGTCCGAATTGCTTTTTGTAGGCAAGATTAAAATTGAAGTATAATAATAATAATATTATTATTATAGGACGCGCCAGAGAGTTTGTCCGACGTTGTCAATTTTAATGTAAAAATGTTTTATGCGGCTGTTTTTTATGTAGCAATTTTTTGTAATATCAAGAATACTCAGTGTTAAATTTGTTCTCGTCTCGCGATATTTAAATAAAACTGTCAACAAAAAAATAACTGCGAGAGACGAGTTTTTAACATTGGCGATATGCAAACGTGTTAGTCCCCACATGTTTATGTTGCGATTAATACTTCAATGTTATATTTAACATATTATTATATCGACGAGATTTCACGCCAAGCAATAATGAGAACTGTGTTACATCACCGTGCATTCTTCGCGTGATTGTTTCTTTTTTATACAGAGAATCTTCCTTCTCTTGCGTTTATAAAGCATAATAAATTTCGTCGGTAAAGCATCTTAATTGAGCATTTTATCGTTTTCTTAAAGTCCTTCTTGAACTTAATTATTATGTTTACCATGTTAATTAATTATATTCATTACAGCACATATATGATATGTGACGTAAACAGCAAATTTTTTATGCTCCGACTTATATTACATACGTATAATAAATGCATAAATGCATTAGAAGGTGTGTACACAGAAAACCTACATTTTAATATCAGACAGCGCGCATAAATATGTTTACGACAAAAAGAAATGTTTTTTATGAGCAATACGAATCGAACGTGTTGAAAGAAACAATATTAACTACAGAGTCTATATTTTATTGAATTTTTTGAAATTGATATAATATCGTGAAATCGCGCGAACAAGGAATTTTTTTTTTATATATATTTTTAACAAGAACATTTTATTTTATATTTTATATTTTTTGCTGTAGAAAACAATATTTACACAAGTTTTGTTTTTAATGTACAATAAGTACAATAATAATTTTTCTCGTTTCATAACTGATTGATTTTTTATAATATCTGTTTTTTTAAATCACAAACTACTTAGCGTAAATAAATAAATGAATAATTTGTGATCTTTAATACTAAATAATTTGATACAAATGATTTGATCTTTCTGCGATTGATATTATATTTCTTAATCTTTCTTGATCTAAAATTTTAAAAAATTATGAATTGCAATATTATAAAATAATATATTTTAATACTGTACTACTTAAAAGTAAAAAGATGTTTTAATGAGACATTTTATATATGAGATTGAGAATGAAAATTGAAATCTTCTTTACATATTGAAAGACGCAATATTACGGTATTTCGAGAATTCAGTTTACGTGTGATATGGGATATATTGGTAAAATATGCTTGAATATTTCATTAAGAAGGCGAGCCCATCTCGCTCGACGAATGTTATTCGAGTGTGTGTCGAGTGTTTTTACATGTTTAATTAAAAAACCTGTTGTCGTTGTCGATCTGATTTATAGATCAATCGCGTAGAACGTGACGTAAACAAGCCTCCACTATGAACCAATAGCGTGACGGAGCGGACTACCTTTGGTCCGCCTATCTGATATTTAAAGCGGAACTTCGATCTACGGCCCGCGATAATCAAATCATCATCACTGGAGATTCTTTTTACCACTTTTCTCAATTTCAAGGAAACATGGTAAGATTGAAAAACAACCGTAATCTAGAAAAAGAAGTTATTTTTACAATTATAACTCTTAAATATTTTAGTTATTCATAATATTTAATTAAGAATTCATATTTATTCGCTTTTTATCTGCATACGTTCAAAAACATAAATTTTTCGCGTTGTTTTGTTTTCAGACCACCTACACCGACAAAGGACTTAAGGCAAGTATCACACTCAGGACAATGTGAGAAACAAGGTGTTTGCTCACCTTGAATTGTGTTTTATTAAAACGTCTAATATGTTACTTATATTTTCAGCCCGTTGGTGGAAAATTCCTCAATTTCGATCACATAAAATTCTGGGTTGGAAATGCAAAGCAAGTATGTGTAAATTTTTTATGCAAAACAAATATAGAAGAATATAACTTTTTACAAGAATTATATTATAAAATTATATTGTTTATGTTGTAGAAATTAAAAAAAAAAAAAAAAATTTTGTTGCAGGCTGCCAGTTTTTATCGTTGCAGAATGGGATTCGAGCCTTTGGGATATCGTGGTCTGGAAACTAACTCTAGACAAACGGCTGCGCACGCCGTTAAACAGAATAAAGTAACTTTCAAATTTACTCGTTTACACATAAGCAAATAAGCGCGTAGTGTAATCACATATGAATCGCGCAGATTATATTTGTGTTCGAATCTCCGTACGAGCCTGACAACGAAGAAATGTCGAAGCATCTTTCTCGACACGGGGATGGCGTGCGAGATGTGGCATTTAGCGTTGAAGACATTGATACTATTGTAAAGGTAAAGAAGAAACAGAAAGGATAAAACTCGTATTCTTTTCTTTCATTTAACATTTCGAACAATTGTGTGTACAGATTGCCAAGAAGAAAGGTGCCAAAATAATGCGTGACACATGGGAGGAAAGCGACGAGCATGGCACCGTAAGGATGGCTACCATAAAAACTGTAACTATAACAAAGTGTGATATCCGACGTCAATAATTTATAAATTATATCCGGAAAAAAATAAATTAAATCTAAGTAGATCTAATTTAAATCTTAAACGAGATTTAAAAAATGGAAAAATAGATATAATTAGATCCAGATTAGATTTAAATGGATATAAAGTAGATCTAAAGATATAGGTAGATATAAGTAAGTCTATGTAAAAATTTACACTTTTATTTATTATTAGATCTACTCAGATTTACTTAGATCTAAGCAGATCTGTACAGATCTGGGTTGATCTAATATAGTATATCTGACTAGATATAAAGTTGATCTAATAATAAATATAAAAGAGTGTACATATTTACATAGATGTACTTATATCTATTTAGATGTAATTTGGATCTAATTAGATCCATTTTTTTATCTCGTTAGATTTAAATTAGATTCACATAAATTTAATTCAATTTTTCCCGTATATATTAGTTTAACGCATGTATTTTGTTGTATTCATTAGTACGGAGACACACTCCATACACTCGTTGACAGGACAAAGTACAAAGGTTTCTTTCTACCGGGTTTCGTAAATGCACCGGAAGACATTCTTCTCAAACAACTGTACGTACGCAAAGGCACAATCCTGAAGAATTTTCTTACTTTCTGTATATAAGAGTGTATCTTAATAATTGCAGACCCCAGACGCATTTAAATTTTATAGACCACGTCGTGGGTAATCAATCCGACAAACAGATGGAACCTGTTGCGAAATGGTATGTAAATTTACCTAAATAGTGAACGTAAAAATACACTTTGTTAACAAAAAAAAAAAAAAAAATGATGATCTTCAAGCATTTCTTCTCCTCTTGTAAGTTAAAATAAAGTTGACGATATTTAACATACAAAGATGTTTTTTCGGGTTTGAACCGCGTTAGTGTCATTTTAATACCGACGTTTCGTGAACATTACAGCTCACTTCATCAGGGTTTGAAGAGCAGCCTGATACTATTAAAATGACACTAACGCGGTTCAAACCCGAAAAAACATCTTTGTATGTTAACACTACACACCGCGAAAGCATCAAATATCAAATTGACGATATTTGTTGTCGAATTCTGCATAAAAATTACAGATCAAATCTTCAGAAATGAATTGTCTTCCACCTGAAGATAAAATCAAATATAAAGAGAGAGATAGAAAATTTATCTTTTTTTTTCAGGTACGAGGAATGTCTGCAGTTTCACAGATTCTGGTCGGTGGATGACACGCAACTGCACACGGAATATTCCGCGCTGAGATCCATCGTGATGACAAATTGGGAAGAGACAGTGAAGATGCCAATCAATGAGCCTGCGCCTGGAAAGAAACGCTCTCAAATCCAGGAATATGTCGAATATTACGGCGGCGCTGGAGTGCAGCACATTGCTCTTAACACCAATAACATTATCACCGCGGTGAGTAATTATTTTGGCAAAATTCGCAATCAAGTTCTTTGATCGTTAGAAATCCATATACACGTATATTGATTTCATTGTTTGTATAATCACTTCTTGAGTTGCTAATTTTTTGGACAAGTAATTCAGAAATAAAATATTGCTTATATGTCGAGAAGTTTATCGTTTTTATTTCGCAGATAACGAATTTGCGCGCCAGAGGAATGGAATTTCTCGATGTGCCCGACAGTTACTACCACATGCTCAGAAACCGCTTGAAAGCTAGTGGCACGAAAATTGTGGAAAACTTGGATATACTGCAGGTATGTACATCTCTTTATTAAATAGCAAATCAATTTCTATAATACAGTAAGTTGCATAAATTATTGCGTATAGATATTGCTACTTTGATTTTTCGATATTGTCTTGCAGAAACTGAAGATACTGATAGACTACGACGAGAACGGTTATCTTCTACAGATATTCACGAAAAATATGCAAGACCGACCGACATTGTTTATTGAAGTTATACAAAGACGCAATCATAACGTGAGTAGCAAGAAAAACTCGTTAAAATATTCAAATAACTAACATACCATCGATCAGCACCGTCTCTAATTCATGTAGCTTTAGAAACAACCTGTGTCTGTGTTAATATATTGAATTAAAAATCAATTAATGATTGATAACTGATATTACATTTTGATGTATTATTATTAATTAATATTAATTCTCTTTTTTGTAGGGTTTTGGGGCCGGCAATTTTCAAGCGTTATTTGAAGCCATCGAATTAGAACAAGCAAAACGTGGAAATTTGTAGAATATTAACATTACCACTTATTTGCAGAACGGATATGAATTTATTGACGCGCAAAAGTAATCTAGCGAGAGAGTAAAGATGATAAATATTTTTGTACTTGTTTTTAATTATTTTATAATTGTGCTACTTATCATTTCGTATATCACATAAAAGATGTATTATGCTAAGTTCGCCTTGAGATTCATTCAACGCAAACATTACCTTAGTGTTTTGTTAACTATACTATCGTTAATAATTATAATAAAAATATTATTTACATGTCATCATGTAACAAAAAACTATGTATGTTTTGTCGCGATCAACGAAAAATATCAAGGTTTACGTTTCTGCCTGTGGAATAGATAATTAACTTGTCTGATTAATTCCGTATTGTTGTATTTAATGGCCAACATTTTTTGTATTACAAAAATACACAGCATTAAATGTAAAATATGTTACAATACATTTCGAAGCGTAGTAATGCAAATATATTAACTGCTGTCAAAAATGAAACTCTCTTTCTTTCTCGAAATATCTGTGTGTACGTATGTGTGTGATGTGCTAGTATGAAGTATAACTAAGAAATGTAGGTTGTTTTCTCAGACAACGTGTATGTATATGTGTATGTAAATGTACGTGTATATATACACACACAACACATACATGTATATAGGAAAGTAACTCGGGTATTCCGATTCTGTTCTCAAATAGTTTTTTTAATCTCTTTTTAGTTTCTTTCAATCGTAACCGAGAAAAGCGAGAAGAGATGGATTTTATATAAAATTCGTGATGCTATCTAGAAAGAATAAGGGATAGGTATGCGATTGAGACGAGAATTATGAATATTATTATGAGATTAGATTTTATGATTTGTGAGATATTTATCGCTCGGTTATCTAATCTGGTGTCTGTGCTTAATCACACGTGACAAAACGTGTGATTAAACATAAAAACTCGAGAAAAATACAAAAATTAAATTACTGAACTGATTTTTTTTTTTTTAATAAAATGGTACCAATATCTCTTATAAGTTATACAAAGTATCACTTGTCCATTGTTGATTGGACTACAGAATTAAATTACTCGTCGCGCAAACCAACCCGGCGATCTTCCTTGTTCATGCGGTATCGTGAATGCCAAGGCGAAAGATGTCATGCTGACAGTAGAATGAATTTCCCACCTGTTTCAGCACAAAACACTGTGAGAAGGCATGTGGTGGATCTTCATCTGCCTGCAATCATAAGATTTACATAGTAAGCACATATATATATATGTGTATACGTATATGTATATATACACAATAAAGAATACAAAATTAATAAAATAATGTAAATATTAATGGCAATCACAGTTACTTATGCAATAATAGTGTTATCATACAATGATACAACAGTGTAAACATGTAGATATAACAATTTTAAATGTTAATTTTTTAAATAGTTCCAACTCCCAATTTGTTCAGCAATTTAATTACATAAACTATACTAAGCCATCTTTTGCCCTACTATTTGCAGTCTATAAAGTTTAGATTATTGGTCTCCGACACTTGCACAACAATGAAATATAGAGATAGCTCACTCTGATTAAGAAGTGTGTCTGAGACCTCTGAAGTTAGCATAAATCTCATGCATGTTTACATATTAAAAGAAACAAGAAAGTTATCTCATGTTATTTTCTCACGTTATTGTGTCATAAAAAAATTATTGTAACACTAACTTGCTGTGCACAACATAAAAAAGCAACTTGAAATGCTTGCGTTCTAAAACGTCAGGTTAAAGCTTGTCTTGAGGTATACAGAGGGATGTTTTTGTAATACCTGATGCCTAAACCGTGTCGTGTAATGCGAGTCTAAAGATGTCGTGTTGCACATAAAAGCTGGTACCAATTGGCTTCAGGACAAATGTCTGGATGTACGCGTGAGGCTGATCCTCATCAGTCTGCCCGATCATCAACAATAATCACTGAGTATTGTTTTTAATACTTTATAATATTAACAAAAATTCTTTGCATGTTATTAAAGTTGATAGTGTTTATTTATGCAATTTCTATCTGTACTGTGTTACATTTCTATTTCTTTTATGCCTTCTATTTATTTTCAATATATATCTGTAGATTAAGTCACAAATTACAATTCTTGGAATTGAGATCCTTTTTACTTCTCTAGGTATTATCCTCAATATTTCATAGTTTTGATTTTTTTGAACACAATACTTAGAGATCAATGTAAGAATATGAAAATTTGAGAGAAATACAAGAATTAAATCACTGAACTGATTGGTTTTTCTGTTAAGAAAATGGTACCAAGTCTCCCTTACAAAAATACCACTATTTAGAAACTACAAAATTAAAGTAAACTGTACTACACTTTTTGTATTTTCTTACCTGCAGCCTTCCTAATACATTAATGAGAACACCTCCATCAAACATGGGTTGTGAATCGATTGCAGTTATTATCCGATTTATTTTTTGAAAGGATAAACTCTGAAAAGTAGAGAGATTAATGGAATAACATCTGCCATCACTAACACATATTGTATATTTAAAGGCTAATTATATCAAATATGTGGTAATAAATGAAGAAAGAAATAATTCTCTGAGATTTAGTTGAGATAATATGAAATAAAAGTGATATTTGACAGAATGCGATGACAACTACCAGTGAGTTTCTACATAACACGCTATTAAACAGCAAATATAATGAAACGGTAAAATTGTAAATCATCCTTGGGGATTTTACTTACGGTTAACTTTTCCATGATTTTTATAGCACCCTGGATCTGCAAACCTTCGAACGTCATAAACGACGTTTCCGTCTAGAAGAGGTTATGTTAAACAGAAATGTGTGAGGAACACAAATATCTCACGATAAGACACTCGCGATAAATCAAACGGGAATTAGAAAAAGTTGTTATTATGTACTTACGTTGTACATGTTTATGAGATTCGGCCTCTGCACCGGGTCGTCGAAGAGCGCGTAATATTGTTGGACGAAGCCTTTGCCGATCGCCTCGTATGGTATGTTTATCGCCATGATATACTAAAAATTGATAAAGCGCCGATAAACGCGGCTTTTTCTTCTTCTACGACGTTTTTTCACAAACCCGACAACGTAACTCGGATCTTTGACCGAGAAACAGCGAAGCACGTCTCCCTCGTGTCGTGTCGAACGGAGAGTTACAGAATTGCAGGAACCTATACTCGCAAGGAGACAATCTCGCGATATATCGAGATCTTTAACCTCGTAGACAATTCTCGAACGCTCGGAAAATTGAGATGTAGGTTCAATGTTTTTTGTTCTGCCTCTTTTTTAAAACGTGAAAATTATTGAGTCACATGTGTGTGTGTGTGTAGAGACTACTAGAAGAGATTTGTTGTCAAAAAAATATATCTGTTGCGCGAAGGACGTGTAATTTAAAAATATTCGAACGTTCGCCATTTTACCTTGAATCAAACTTCGTTTCGTATTCGAAAATGATCGATGTGAGATTATCGATTGTTCTCGAGCGATTTTTCTCGAAGCTCTGGTCAAATCTTATCGATCAGGACGACGATCGATCGAAGCGAGAGTTTATCGCGAGTAGACAAATCGATCGTGCAAGTTCGTCAAATCGAGTTTCACTGGAAGACAAGAACACACATCAAATCTAGACGCGCAAATGTGTTCCTGATTGTTCGAAACTCGAACAAAATTTGCTCAATGTACAAGACAAGAGAAAATCTCTAACGTCAAAAAATAATTAGATGTATCTAAAATCTGAACAATTTTTTTTTTTTTTTGATTACTTGATAAATTAACTTTTTCTCCGCACGCATGCGTCACGCTTTATTTAAATTGGAACATACGATTTATATTGTTGTATAAATCGATTCTCCCCTGAATTGCGACTGAATCTATTTTTGTCCAAATGTAATTTACAATAATGTAAACATATCATTTCACAAATATCAACTTTAATCTCTTTTGACAAGACCAGGGTCGAATAACGTGGCATTGTCGCAAGGATTTATTATCGAGTATAATTTTCGTACCGCAATCGGAGCGCAATTGCACGAACAAATAAGATAATAGACCTTCCGCGCTCTATACACGCGCTCCTCTCGGATTTCATTTGCAGGCGTTTGACGATTGAAGATAATGCGACTTAATTTCTGCGATGAGCGAAGCGCGCAACGGTCGCGCGTGTAACAGTCGCATCCGCGAGAAGATTCGCATCGCGATCCGCGCGTATCATTCGTTGATGCGATTAACGCGTTTCGCGAGATATCCCCATGGAGTTGAGTTGTGCCTCTCACGACTGTTATATATAAAAAAAAACAAAAAAAAACAAAGTTAAAAAAGATCTCGAACACAGAAGACGAGAAAAAACAATTTTTTTCTCGTTCAAAAGCTAATAAATCTCACTTTTCTTATCTAGAGAATGTTCTCTTTCGCGTCATCGACTTTTTCGATTATGCAATCGCGACTTTTTATTTCGGATTGTTCCGCGGCGTTTCCAGACGAGCTAAAGCATGCACATCACGATATATGTACGTATATATCGCAGTACGGTTGTATGTACGCGCACACGATATTTAGCGTTGCATAACGCCTGTTGCATTGCAACACAATTGTCTCATCCACCATTAACGCGCCAAAGCCATTGTCGCATCGCGGCTTGTTTTCGCCTTGAGCATTCTTTGAGAGACTCTCTCTCTCTCTCTCTCTGATAAAGTTCCATCACGAGCGTCGTCGTGAACGACGACGATTAACGAAAAGAGCGACGACTTTCCGGATAAAGTGCACGCACGCCTGTCGCGCGTCTGAATTCATTAAATTAGCATTTAACGTCTAATTGCGAGCCAAGTCGAACTAACTGCGAAATACAAACGCGAATCTCTGAAATATAACAGTCCATATGTACAAAACCATATGAATTGTAAAAGAAGTAAAATGTATTAAAAAATTCGCGAATGCGTCTTGCAAGAGCACCGCGTCCTACTGAAGTAGTTAGCGGTTTCGAGACACAGTCGCACGCTTCTTGTTTGTGTACAAAACGATTTATGATGTCGACTTTTAGGTCAACAGGTAGAGACGACGGCGGAGGCTGGGTGTAAAGAAAGCAACGGATCGGTCGCGCGCGGCCGACATTGACCCAGTTAACAAATGATAAGAAATATAGAGGATATCCTCTTTTATTCTCTCTCTTTCTCGGCACGAGAACTCTCAAGGAGTGAAAACTATAAACGCAAAGGTCCTTGCTAGCATTTTATACTTTGCGTTTTTTGACACAAGACTTACGTTACAGATCAATTGTGTGTTACGAAGTCGCGTTTTTCTTCTTATTTTTGTTTTCAGATTAATCGATGAAGATTTTCGCTAAGGAAGAAACACGAGCAATCGCAAAGGATCGAAAGAGAAACCGCATTGAGAGAACTCTCTCTCGAATTAGTCGGTATTAAGTCGACTTAACGCTTAAGGCGTAACGAGTGTAGTCGTTTCTAATTATAGCTTTATAAGAGACCTCTTCGTCGCGTTACCATACGGAGCACGTTTGTGCTTGCGTAGTGCAAAGGGTTAAAACAACACGCAGACCTCATCGTCTCCGGCGTGGCGCTTCCCGTGGCCGATTGGCATTCAGCGAGGAACGGCCAGTCCACCGGCCATTAATTGCCTATTATATCGTAACGTGGGTGGACCCACGGAGTGCAGTATTCAGCGTTCCCTCCTCCGCGTCTATCCTTCCATCTGATGATCCTCATCGAATCCGTACGGCGGATGGGAACGACATTTACCGAGGTATCACGTCGCTGAAAAGTCGGTTTCTATAATCATTTGTTTATATATATATTCATATACAAATACATTCGGTTAATGTTTATTTTACGCGTTGTAAAATATCATCTCTGTGTACAATATATCACATGCAATAGGACGAGAGTTAAAACTAAATAAAAAAGTTAAAAAATTAAATAAAACGATATCCTTTAAATACGACAAATTAACATATTTGTTTGGAAAACTTGGCGTACGAGTTGACGTGTTTAAATATTAGCCAATGCTTGTCTTTTTTTTATAGATAAAGTGTAGCGATAACAGAATAACACACTAATAGCGGTAATATTCAAACCGTTTGTATATGTCGTTTTATATGCAAATTTAGTGTCACACGATTGCTGTGAGAAATAGAAATAGAATAAGTAAAAACAGAGACACTAATATGCATTTGTACATTAGTGTTTTTTGTGCTTTCCTCCTTTCGCGCTCTCAATTAATCGATTTTACATTTTTGAAGACCTGTTTTTGAAAACCCGTTTCCGACGTTTCGGCAAATTGAGACAAACTTTCAAAGATTCTTCTCGAGATTTATCTCGATTATATACACACAAGACCGGCTCGGTGCCATCGCTAGTCGCGTACCTATATAATAATATATACGAAGAAGGCATGAATTTATATATAATGGAATGGTGGAGCGGTCGGTTGTCGTCGTCGTTGTCCATCGCGTGTGTATATTGTGTTCCAGCGACCGCGCTCACGTGACACTCAGATAGATTTGCGTCAATGGTGACCTCCGCGCGTTCGCTCCGCGGCCACGCATACCATGCCGCCTGGTCTGAGTCGCTTGAGCTGTGCCCGAATGCCTGACTGCGCCATGCCTTGTCGCGTGCAATATACGCGTGTGGCACATCGGGAGAAAACGGTCCTTCTTTCTCTCTCTCGCGACTTTTGCAATTTTATTTCATTCACACTCGCGACAAATAAAACAAGACGCGATTTTTTCTCGCGCATTTTATTTGTTTTTTTTTTACGTAATTTATTGATAAAAAAAGCGCATAACATATATCAGCGCGTAATTTTGTTTTTTTTTTTTTAACATTTGTGGGTTCTGAACAAGTGTTTCTTTTTTATAATTTGTTCGTAAATTTCATCGATAAATTTTACATGTCGAATTTAAGTGAATTAAAGACAAATGTAAGCATTAAAATATAGATTATTAAAATATAAAGCGCTATTATGCGTTTAAGCGACTTACTTATATATTCTTTTATATATATATATATATATATATATATATACATTTCTCAACTTTTTATTTTCTATTTGTAACAATTCGTGTCTGCTTGTAGCAACTTTTTTCTCCGCTTCGTAGCTTTATATGCGGACGGATTTTTAAGTTTTCTGCGTCTCAGTACGGATAATCAAATAAACTGCAATTTATGCCACCACGTGTAACCCACGTGGCCGTTCAACGAACTCAAATGCATGGGTCGGAAAAATTTCCACATTCAATAACAGTCTATTTGACCGTTAAGTGGCGACTTGTTAGCGCTCTCGCAAAGTTTTTTTTACTTCTCGGTTTTTGACTTGAGCGCAGTTTCGAGCGCTGACCAGCGAGAATTTCGAGTCGAAGGTTGCAAGTTTAAGAAGATCTCTCGTGTTACCGTCCGCATGGATCATCAGTTTATCGCCGCCTCGGTCGGTTGTGAAAATGTGGAGAAAATGAGACAGATAGAGAGAGAGAGAGAGAGAAAAAGAAAAAAATCTATTGCCGACAAAAATAAGGAAAAATAGCAATCATCGACGTCAATGGATATAATTGCGAATCCATGTATGAGGAATGCTGTTTTCTTTTTTTTTCCATTTTATAGCCGTGCGATATCAATGTGTCGCGTGTAACAAAAGTCGATGTATCTGAAGGCGATATAGAATTGGAACCGATAGACGGATTATTGATTGTTTACTGCACGGTTCTATTAATAATATCGCAAAGAGTAACTGTGTATACGTGGCCGCAAAATAGATGTTCTGTATGTCGGTTTTATTTGTCGATCAAATGACTTTATTATCTCGAGAGAGAGAGAGAGAGAGAGAGAGAGAGAGAGAGAGAGAGAGAGAGAGAGAGAGAGAATTCACATGTGTTGTATACAATTGTGTGAGTCTAGTTGGCGAAAGTAGACGCAAACTCAAATCCGTGGATACTACATAGAGTCCGGCGATTTAGAAACGCACAGTCGAGCTGAGTTAGATCATTCGGGACACGAAAAATTTCGAAATCTTCTGTTTCGACTCACGAGACTTTATTTAAAACATCTCTATTTTAAACATGTTTGATGCAACGCGATCTGCACGCGTGTCGTTAAATTGCTAATCGCGCGCAAAGACGCGCGGATAAGAATAATGATGTAAAACGCGATCGACATACGTTATACTATGGACTATCTCTCTCTCTCTCTCTCTCTCTCTCTCTCTCTCTCAATCGATCGATCGATTGGAGGATCTGATATCTCGTTGCGAGATATGTCACTTCGTCTTTTTTACGCGCGGAAACGGAATATACACATGTGTCCCTTCACGGAAACATGCTATCGCTCCGTTATCGTTCCGCACCACTTTTCCGTCATGAACGGATAAGATAAGACGAAGGCAGAAAAAAAGATCGTGCGCATCACGACGCGCGATAAAAAAGCAGCCTCTATATATCGTGTCGAAACACGCCAGGAGATACTGCTACTGCGTGTTTTACGCTCGTGGCCGCCGCCCACGTAACTTCCGCCGGTAGATCACAAATTACGAATTTCCGCCCTTCGTTTCTCGATTGCGCCGTTATAACGAAGATGAAACAAATTTATTTGCAATGTACACAGCACATTACGCTTTGAACAAAACGAAGCACAATACACGCAAATACAAATGCGAGAGATTAAGGTAAAAGATCCAAATTACTGACAGTGTCCCCCTATGTCAATTAAAATTTAATTATTTAATATTATTAGTAATTATTTAATATATAGTATTCAGTTATTTAATATTATCAGTTATTTAATATTATTTAATTATTTAATATTATTGCCGATCGAAATTTAAACAATTTTTTAATTATGAAAATATGTTATGTTATTAAAACAAATTTCAATAAAATTTTCCACAAATATAATTGTTGTTATAGTGAATAAGTACAAATTTAAGCCAAAATGCTAACTTTGAAAGTATTCTAAAGTTTAAGAAACACGCTTTTTTTTATTACACTACTTATTTACTTCACTACTACAAAAGTACGTAAAAGACATTAGACGCAAAAAAAGAAACTTTACGCGGAAAAGAACCCAGTAATTGACAGTAATAAGATCATTTGGTTGTTAGTATTAAGAACGACACTAAAAAAAAAAAAAAAAATCAAAACATCAAAATACCTATCATCGACCATGAAGACAACAGGAAAAGAACTTGATAAGTCACATTTTCGTAATTTTAGAGAAGAGCAATTTTAAAGTTTGAAACGTACATGTACACGTTTTATAAGAATGCTTTTATCTCGGAATCTATCAAGAATTTTTCCCTCTTGTTTTGGATAATTAAAATACTCCATTTTAATTAATCAAATAACATTAAAAGCAGAAAATCGAAAAAAAATAAACTTACGAAGTTCTTCTTTCTTGTGGTCTTCATGTATTTAATCAAATGTAATTAGAGCGTCTGCTTAATATGCCAAGTAGTTGGGTCTTTTATCCTATGTAAAGTTGAAGCACGATCACGAGTGTTTAATCTAAAATCAATCGTATAACATCGTGATTAACTGCGGTTAATTATAACGCACTCGTCATCGAAGCGACTCACCCGTGACAATAAACAATCAGACGCAACAATACATCATTTCCGGTTGATTCATTTTTTTTTTTTTTTTTTTTTAATTAGAGTCTTTTTCAACTCGAAGATCTTTTTTGTGCTGGTGTTAAATCGTGTTCTCAACATTTTTGTATCATAAAAAACTAGGAACTAAAGAGACAACTTGATTATTCAAATATATACTTGCGATAAGTTTGAATTTGCATGGCAAAATTGTTTCTTTTGAAGTATGATGTAACGTCACCTTCATATTTCAATTTAATACAAACGGAATTAATAAATGACGATTTTGGAAAAAGTTCTTGAAACGGACAACTTGTAGGAATAAAACATATACGCGTAATATGTAAAAATATATATGTAAAAAAATATATAAAATATATATGTATAAAATATGTAAGTTAATTCTAAAGATTTTTTTAATTTTATGCACGCGTGGCAGATGTAATCACGGTGCGCGTGCAATTAGAAAAAAAGCGCGTCTTCTTCTTTAGTCTTGCGACGATAATAAAATGACGATTGGCGAGAAGCGAGGGAAAATCAGAGACGGCGTTTTCGACGGCGTAACAAGGTGCGGTGTCATCAGTCGGTCGGACATTGTTATTATCATTGTCGGTGCGCGTGGGCGTGCATCGTCCAAGGGCGATTCGAAAAGCGAAATCGCGCTTGATTAACGTTAAAAGGAAGCGATCTCGTTAAGGATGTTTTATCAAATTACCAAAATGTCGAATTAAAGAACTGCTCGATCGCTACGTGCGACATCCACGACGAACAAACTCTTTCTCGTTTTGCGTGTCTTACTTATAATTTTCTAATAAAATTCTTCGAAAATAAAGTCGAAATTTGTACAACGCGTCGATAACTTAGAAGCAAAAATAACTCGATATTTGGCGAATTTGTTGAGCGTAATTTTGGTTGCACAACCGCGATTGACAACATCGCGACGATTTATTTCGAGCACGACTTACGTGTGTCCGTAATAAATGAATTTCCTCGTGACGCCAATAACCTCGTAAATATCGATACGAACGTACACGCGTTTGGTGGGTGCCACCACGATATACATATACCTTGTGCGTGCGTAACGTCGCACTCTTTGCGTCTCGTAGTGGAGAGCTCTGTAACGAAACGTCGTGTGTGTAGACGCGTGGTCATGAATAAATTCGCGAATTTGGACGCAATATGTCATTTCGTCGCGTTTTCTTCGTGAGAGAAACGTAGATGTACATACAACACGAGTATACACGAGATCCTACATACGTCAGCAGACAGAGATCGACAGACGCACTTCGTTCTCTCGTGTACCGTATTTCGCGGTCGATCACCCCGAGCTGCTGCTGCTGCTGCTGCTATTGCTACTACCGCTGTGTTCGCTTGTGTGCCAACGATAAAGCCAGCCGTCGCATGTTTTCGTCGCAACTCTGTCAGGAATAAGAATCAACCCAGCCTCTCCATGGGAGGTATGACGGACGACACGACGCGCGTTCCTGAAATTCACTTGCAAATGAGCGATGAGCGATGAACGAATCGCGATAAAGCGTGACGTAAATCGCACGGATTGTTTGTTTTTTTTTCTTTTTTTTTTTTCATCTCCCAAAATTCATGAAGCGATCGCAAAAATAGTCTGACGTTCCAGCAGAGACGTCAACTTTCTCTCCGATAAAATGCGACTTACGTCAGTGAGCGAGCGAGTGCGTATCGACGAAAGCACCACTGAAATCGCGCGAGATAACGGCAGCATCGATCGTCCGTGCACGCTTATACTGTGAAAAAAAATCGAACTGTTCATCTTCAATTACCTACCTACAAACACTGACTGCGAAAATAATGACGTTATTGTTGAGGCAATAATATCGATAACAGGCGCGTTTTTAAGACTGGTAAAACTTCGGTGCAAGGACAAAGATGAGAGGGCCCTTTAATTAATAATAATAATAATAATAGTAATAATAATAATAATAATTATTATTATTATTGTTATTATTATTTATTAAAAGCAATTGGACAAAAGTTTTTAATGAATTTTTATTTGTATGCAAATTTAGAAACGAACACCTCTTCGAACTTTAACCGACATAAATTTGTTTGCAACATCTTCCAAATTTAAATTAATCAAAACATTTTTTTCAATTGATAATAAAGTTAGATCAGATGTTCTTTCCTGTGTCATGGTATTTCTTAAATAACTTTTAAGTCTCCTTAATACACTAAATGATCTTTCGGCACTCGCAACTCCGATAGGTAATGTTATGAATATTATAAATTTATAAATGTTTATCATGCACCGAGGGCCCGCAGATCCCGGGGCCCGTCGGTGCATCGCACCGGTTGCACCGACGTTAAATACGCCTCTGATCGATAATAATATTTGTATCTGTAATTTAACAAACGGCTTGAGCACATCATTCTCGACAAAGAAACGGATCTTGGGGAAAAAAAAAATGTAGAACGTCGACCTGAATGTCGTTCCGTTGCTCTTCTTCATCGCGATGCGAACCTTGCGCATCGAAAAAAAAAGCGACATTTCTTCGGAATCCCGATTCGCTTCATGGGCAAAAGCAACAACCGGACATGAATCAGCAACGAAGCCATCTTCGGCTCGTATTCCAAAAAATTTTATTTCTTTGATGCTTCGAAGAAAATTTTAGCTTACGTCAAGTTCGTAAAATATCGTGAGTGTGATTCAATATTCGGAATAAATGTGATGTGATAAACATCCTGATGAAAAAGAAAAGCTAGTGGACTTTCGTAGCAGATCTCTGCAAAATAAGACGGGATCAGGAAAAAATTGAACGCAACTTGCACGTGTACGTCTGCTCAAAGTACATTTTTCAGATTTTACAAAAAACGTAGACTGTAAAAACACACTTGGTATACCAGACATTCGTTCTCCCTGCAAATTGTAATTTGTAATCTCGAATGAGATTTACATTTAATGCCATAAAAATAATATTAATGCGTTTTTATAATATTTATTATAGTTAATAATTTATATATCTATTTAATATTTATATATCTAGATAAGATGTAGAATTATGGTATAGTTTTTTTAAATATATATTTTTAATTCATAATATGTAAAAAATACAACAAATTTATGTGAACACAAATAAGGGCAGGTATCATCGCTTTTTGTTGTCTCTTCTTCATATACAATTTTCGAATTAAGAAAATTCTAAAGTGAGTTTGTTTTATCGATAAAACTGAATTTTTCGAGCGCACTAATTTTTTTCTTTTTTGGCTGTATGGATAGATAAATCCTTTTTTACAATTACAATGAGGAATCCGGAAAGTTCAAATTTATATCGAAAAATTGAAAAAAATCAGTTAAAAAAAATTTTTTATCTTGGAAATTTAAACATCTCGGATCTCTCATTGTGCGTACTTTAATTGTAGAAAAAGATTTATCAATCCATACAATCAAAAACAAATTAGTGTGCAAAAAATTCAAAATATTTGAAAAATTTCAATTTTTTTCATTTTGTTATATAAATATGAACGTCCCCGAATCCCTTAATGCGTGTACTTTTTAATTGTAGAAACGGATTTATCAATCCATACAGTCAAAAAAAAGATTACAATTGTGCACAAAAAATTGTTTTATCGATAAAAGACCCGCTTTAAGCCTCTTGCACAATGGACGGAATAGCGATAGCGATAGAAATAATACCAGTTGTAAAGAGTTTATATTTATAAATAACGGTAGGAACAGCGGAATCTAACATACAAAAATACACATGTATCCAATGCAGATCAGAAAATCGAAATAAGCAATAGCGATAAAATTTCCGACGAGTTGGAATTCTGTGTTAAAAACTGTTATTTTTATCGCTATCGCTATTCCTCCTATTGTGCAAGGGGCTTTAGGATCGTTTTAAAGTATTTTTAGTCTGCTAGTAGACTAAATTGTTTTTCTTATCTTTTGTAGTTTAATGTTATTGCAACTAACGCTGTCATGTACAAAACGTATCTTCCTTTTATTTAAGAAAGAAAAAGATTTAGATACAAAAGAGAGCCGTTCGATTCCGCTGAATAAAAAACAAGATTACAAAACTGAATTTGACAAAACAAAACTTTCTTGTCGAAATCCGATGATACTTAAGATACACGTCTACGCATACTTTCTCGACGCAAGGACAAGCGAGCACATCCGCCGCCAAGTTGTGGATGCAGAAAAAAAAAAAAAGAGTTTAGCTCAATTACACATCCTGCAGTTTCCTTCTAGTCGCGCGCTAGAGCACCTTGCTTTTCCGTACATACGTACGTACGACGACGTATACTGATCGGCGTTTCGCGGAGGAGGGAGAGTCTTCGATAAAACACATTCGCGTTCTCTCGGTCGCTTCAGTGTTGCTTTACGGTGTTCACGAGTACGGGCGGCGAACGCATCGCGCGGTGACGTTGGCGGAGCGAAGCGTCGGTCGTCTCGAAAATTATAGCAGTCGTCGAGTAGAACACACGGTCGCTAGGAGAAACGGTAACGCGTGTGTGTGTACGTGTGAGGAGAGAAGGGAAGTAAGCGCGGTGAAAGATAGACCCACCTCGAAGAGGGAGCGACGATGGGCAGCGCTGCGGAAACTAGACGAAGCAAACGGGACGGGACGAAGAAAACGCCGTGAACACGACGGAGACGAGACGAGAAACGCCAGCGACAAACGGCCAATCGAAATCCTTTCTCACGTGCGGTTTCTCAGTTTGGCAGTTGCTCCGATTGCGCGGCATACGCGAACGTTTCAACCGGCTTCGCTTTACTGGCTGGCGCTGCCAGATGGAGGTTAGGTGGTTCGTCAGTCGGTGATAACAGTGTATCCCAGCGGCGGCGGCGGATGGTCTCATAAGACTTGAGAGAAAATAATTCAGTGTGTGTTTGCCATTCAGTGTGTGTGTGTGTACGCGTCACGTTATTCGCGAGTGTCCGACTTGCTCGTTAACGCATATTGTGCGTGCGCACATTCACGTGCCGACGGTGTGCTGTTCGTTTTTGCCTCCACACACAAATAAATAATGTCAAGCAGTGTGTGCCACGCGCCCTTACCAGCACGAATGGAAGCGTTCACCACGAGGCTCTGCCTGCGTGCGGTCGATCAGTATGAGCGGCTTCTGCAAACTCATTTCAACAAGGTACGTTTGACAAAATAAAAATAACAAAAATCGATCGCCGAATCTCGGTTTCTCCCGGAAATGGGGGAGGGCTTGTCGCCTTGTCGTTAAAAAAAAAAACAAAACAAATTGTTTCTGCAAAATGTTTTCTCCTTTCAGAAATGTCTTCCTTCTCGCCGATGCGCAGTTCAAAAAAAAAAAAAAAAAAAAAACGTCGATGCAACAAACCGCAAATGGAATGTGAAATATGTGAATGATGTACGTTGAGGAAAACAAAAGGTGTATACACGCAGCTGTGTCTATATGTTCTAGATTAGTATATAAGTAATTGATCGTGTGAGTCATATATAAGTACTTTGACGAAAATGTTGTTACCGGGAAGAAGACGGGTTGCGTCGCGCCGGTACAACGTGCTCACGTCGTCTATAATCGAGACACAAGAGTGTGTCCAAGATCGTTGAATTCTCCACCTCCGGTGCTTTCCGCAACGGTAGATCGTTGACCCGTTGTGTGCACGCTTATCCTACTTTATTGCAGTTCCGTGTCCGCATCTTGCCGAATACGAACGTACATCATGTCTGAGTGCTCCCAAAAGAGGGCATTGATTTTCATTAAAAAAAAAAATAAATAAAAATAATGATTGTGAACAATTTATAAATGGAAAGCTCGAGAAACGTCTCGAAAGCGCATCGATCGGTTGACATTTTGCTTAAAAGCTATTTTATCCGATTAACGCGATAACCGAGAGCTCGCTACGGATTTAACCTTTCGAGTCCAGACTCTCAAAAATTGCGCATCAGCGTTTCTAGAAAAACCTAGGTTTTTTGAAAAAAAAACGCTTACATCTTCAAAATCACTAGAGATTTTTTAAATTTTTTTTCTTTTTTATTGACGCAGAATTGTTCCAATTTTCGATTTAAGAAAATTGAAAAAAAAAGTATTGATTTTTTGCTGAGATATTCGACGTTAAAGTCGCGCAAGTCTCACAGATCTGGCCAATTTGTCGTCAATTTTGAAAGATCTGGCTGCGAAGGGTTAAATAATTGCCTTCAAAAGTGTGAAGTAAGTTCTTGACGACGATTGATGCAACAATTTAACAGTCGGCGCGATAAACGTTCTTGCGCATTCCTTCGCGAAACTTTCCCAGCTTTCTTCACGCACCCACGCACTTCGCATTAAAAAGTTTCTCCGATGAGCTTGTCTTCTCATTGAAATCTCACACGTTATCACACGAAATGCGGGCGCAATGTTTTTTTTATCGCGATAAAGAGAGAGAGAGAGAAAGAGAAAAACCTTGAGACACCTACTCTTCCGATACATCGAGGAAATAATGACAGTGAATTTTCCTATAATGATTCACGCGCGCTTCGCCTATTACGCTGTCATCATCATGATGATATGTGGCGCGCACACAATAAATGTGTACGTGCCGCATTCTGCAATTTAACTTTACGATAGAAAAAAAACGCGAGCAGCAGACCGATCATGGTCTTGCACGATTCGACGAAATATTTAGTAGTTTTTGTGAATTTAACAACGAGATAATTTGTTGAATTACTTCGCGTCGAACGAGGATTTGAACTCGCTGAACTCTTGTGATACAGGAATTTAATTGACGATTCTTCGCGATTAAATTGACGCGCGTCCGATCAGGATGTCCGACAAAACATGTAAAACTCGATTCTCAATTGCAATGTGTAATTTAGTTCGGGTGAGAAGCACGCTCGGTATCGCGAGATGCCTTGGAACGATTTCGCGGAGCGATACGTGAGCGATCGCTCGAGGCGCACGTTGACACAGTTTTCGCAATAACACTTGTTACCGAGTTGTGCGCGCGGAATGTGAATACGAGTTTGTTCGTTTCGCTCTGTGCGAGCTCCGGATTTGGAAATTTTGTTACACGCGAGCTTTGAAAAAGATATTGCAATCGTATCACCGGGTCGCGTGTTAAACGCGCGATAGCCGTTAATTTAAAGCTTCGAAAAATGGAAGTAATACGGCGGTTGCACCTTGCGGCAAATAAAAAAAACAGATAAAAGCTGTAAAAACAAAAAAAAAAAGAAATAAACAATCGCGCGTACGCGTGAATTCGTTGAAAGAAAACAAAAGACTTGGCGCGGCAAAATTTTGTTGAACCGCATGTTTCTTTTCGTCGTGTTGCAAATTGTTGTAAGTGTGCTTCTGCTGCAACACAATTCGAAACGACACGATGAATGGGAGAATAATTGGAATGCGCGTCGGCGCGATCAAATTTTAACGAGAGGCGAGACTTGCTTCGGCGCGGCGTTTTGCGCCCCCCCAATTAATCATTCATTAATACATCAGTTTTTTTTTACTTAATTCCGAGTTCTTTTTCTAACGGATCATATAGTCGCGGTCCGACTATTTTCTTCTTCACATCGCTTACTTATCACCTACTATCTACTTACTATACGCGTTATTCTTATCAAGTCGCTGGCAAAAAGCTGATACGAGAAAATCTATATGCAAAGATTATACAAATGATTTATCATCAGATAATACGTCATTCAATAATCCTCACAACAGTTTGCGATAAATTAAAATACGTAATTCGCTACTTTGATTGAGATCTTCTACTGGTTTTTTTGTTTTCGTTATTAATAATTTATCCGTGTGTGTAATCAGCTGTATTTCAATCTGAAAAAAAAAATAATAATAATCGCACATATCAGTCGTTTTTTTACTCGTGCGCTCAATAGAAAAATATAATATTTTAATTTTTCCTAACGAAGGAGAGCAAAAACACAAATCGATATTTGTAATGTAAAACATGTGAATTTTTTCCGAGCTTTTTTTTTATCTCAAGCGGAACTCGGTAGCTAACTCTCTGCCGAGATTTCTAAACAAATCTCTTCGGGATTTATAAATATATTCTCTCGTAATTATTTGTCATATAATACGTATCTCATTATTGAGAACCTTCGACATTTCGATCGTTTCTCCAAGGCAATTGTGCTGTGACTAGTAAAATCGGGCTCGCTGCGCATTGTGCGAGCAACAGCGCGCGATGAAACTTGACTGACTAATATAACGTCACTGACGTCAATAGGTAATGTTTGAAACGCGATCGCGTTTACTTACGAAACGAACAATCGCACATTCGAGATTTTTTTTATATGTTCTTTTTCTGTCGCTTCCGAAGTGACACGTTGTCCTCGGTTGTGTTCTTCTCCGGGGTTTCGTGAGAAGACATTTTCGACAGCTGGGCAATTGCCTGTTCGAAATGGTCCTCAAACCATTTCTTAAATATTTTAGTCATTTGTAAAGGTAAATCACGCCAGAGATAGATGCGAATTCATCGGCACGGTCGAATAATCAAGGTCGAAATCACGGCCGAATCACGCGAGCGCGGACCTTGCCGCGAAAATTGAAATGAACGACGTACGATGCGAAATCAAATATTCGCATCGAAAAACGCGATAACACAATCTAGTGAATAATAATAAACATCCTTCACGCGAGCGTTGCGTTGACAACGATAAAAAAGAAAAAGTAACGAGATAATTTACGTCGTATTTTGACATTTATTAATGAAACGTCGTCAAAGATGTATTATCACTTGTTGCTACATAAATTGTATATATATCGAAGTTGCGGATCAATTCGTCCGATTACGTTCCGGACGACTAAAATTTCGAGGTGTGCTCTCACAGCGTACACTGTCTGTCTCGGTTGGATTAAATTCTTAGTAGGCTTCTCTGGTTGCAGCCGTCGAGCAAGGAGCAAACGCGATTGAGCAATCATGATTCGACGGGTAGCAAGGATCATCGTCGGCAGAAGGATGGGTCTAGCAGCAGCAGCAGCAGCAACAGCAGCAGCGGCGGCAACAACAGCAGCACCTACAGCGCCTTCCGTCATTGGCGACGGAGCACCTCGATGGGCTCCCATCGTTCCAACAGCACTGGCTCCAGATCGTCATCCAATCCGCTCGCTAAACTGCCCAATGACCCAGCCACTCTTCGCAAGATGGAACATTTTCCCTTCGTTCTATCCGACACCACGATGCCTGATGAAGATCTCTCCCTAAAATTCCTTGCTCTGGTATGTCACAATTGAAAATTCGCGTACTTATTTATTGCGTTAATATTTTTTCTCCGTAGAAAATAACGCGACTTTGCGTGATGTTGCAGAACGCTCTGGACCTCACAGCACCGGCTAGCGATGTGCTTCTGAAGAACCGACTGAAGTCTTGGTTCCAATTGTCAGGTCATCCGGATGGTTTTGCGCCCGCCGGACCTGGTACCGTCTGGAAAAGAAGAACAGGCGGTATTGAGAACACAGAGCGTGTGGTTTACGAGACGTTGAGCAAGGATAAAGCGCTGCGAGATTGTATTCCAAGGTAGTTAAAAAAAAAAAAAGAAACAAATTTTATATTGCCTTTTGAATTGAGACGTGAAATGTGAACAACCGTCGTCGCTTCTTCTGTAGATACTATCGGGAAGTCGAATACAAAGGCGACACGTTCATCGAGTTGCAAGATCTGCTGTTTGGTTTTACCGATCCTCACGTAATGGATATCAAGATGGGCACGCGTACCTTTCTTGAATCCGAAGTGTCTAAGACTACCGCCCGGCCGGATCTGTATCAAAAAATGATAGCCGTCGATCCGGAAGCGCCGACTCAGCTCGAACACGAGCAACGCGCCGTGACGAAGTTACGATACATGCAGTTCCGCGAGCAGCAGAGCTCGACCTGCAGCCACGGTTTCCGCATCGAGGCGATGAAGCTGCCGGGTTCGCCACCAATTACCGATCTCAAAAAGGTCAAGTCACACTCGGAAGTGCTCAATACCATCAGGCAGTTTCTCGGTAAACGCGAGGACACTCGAAAGAAAATTCTTACGCGCCTTAGAAGTCTGCGAACCAAGATAGAGGAGTCGAAATATTTCCAGACTCATGAGGTACGATAATATATACACTACACATAATATTTCTCTGATCGATGTCTTTTTCTCTACGTATCAACACTGGCATAAGATTCGTTTCGCGCGCTGTCAGAAAAATGATTTCAATACACGTTAACATATTTCGCAGGTCATCGGCAGTAGTATTTTCATGATTTACGACAACGAAAAAGTGGGCGTTTGGCTGATAGACTTTGCAAAAACACGCGAGGTGCCGGACGGATTGAAGCTGACGCATAGGCGCCCTTGGGAAGAAGGCAATCACGAAGAAGGTTTTCTGTTTGGATTGGACAACTTGATTTCGGCCATCGAAGAGGTTCGCCTTTTCTCGTAAATATTTCCGATGTTTACATGAAACATCGACGTTATCGAAACAGTTACAGAACAGAGTTTAAAAACTTCCTTAGCACTATAAAAGGAACATTTGTTCCATATGTAACAAGTAAAACAAAACTATGTGTGTATTTCATCACATTTTTGTGTAATAATTTCCATTTAGATGTAATAAGCGAGTATCAGTATCGAAAGCAGAAAACTCTATTATAGAATTATATAATTAAGAATTATATCAACGCCGAAAAATAGATATATATCCATACTTTTGCTCATCTTCTGATTCTGTCGCGAGTTTCTGACACCTTCGTTGTCTTTATTTATCTCTCATTGATATTTAACATGGAAGACTGTTTTTCTATTGCATTTTGCGCGCATTTTTATAAAAGACGCATCTTTAAAAAGACAAAAACCTCCAAACGCATTACTCTGTGTACAAAATGCGTAATGTACAAAAAAGTAGCTTTTAAAATAGCCAATAAATAATGTAATGCGTAAGCTAGATCAAACTTACAAGAAAAGTGTTTACGTTGAATAATAATATAACATTCTTACTTTTTTTAAGAGAGAGAGAGAGAGAGAGAGAGTATGTGTTTTCGTGTGTACGTGTGTATGTATGTGTGCGTGTGTGTGCGCTCGATTGTGTGCTTTGTAATTTTTCGCTTATGTATGTGTGCACGTTTGTATGCATGCAAGTGTGTGCGTTTGAATCTCTTGTGTGTATCAGCAAATAAAATAGTCTTCAAATAATTCCACGCGTATATTCTCATTTGCATCACATTAGCTTTCTTTCCTTTGTATCCTTGTATACGTAATTTCATAATATGTTGTAACATAAACGAGCTGAGAGATAGGATGATAAATACATACATATATAAATATATGCAAAAACATAATATATTTTTTATACGCACATCAATGGGAATAAAAATGATATGAAATAAATTAAGCTTGATAGAAATTAAAACGAGAAGTTTTCGAAAACTTGGTGTTTCGCAAAAATAATGTACAACTTGCACGGAAACAAAAACTTTGCTATAGAATAGCAAGAAAGTTTAATTATTCTGTGATCAGCAAGAAAAAGTTGCTAAGTTTTATTGAGATTTTTGTTTTGCTAACAAAACAAAATTTTGTTGATGAAACAAAAATTTCAGATTCAACAAGTTTTCTTGCCGGCCGTGTAATATAGCAAAACTGTTTTTCCGCGTACTACTGCATACATTTTATAGCTTTATATCGTCAGATATATATGTATATTTTATATATAAAATATATAAAATGCATAAAAGCGTTCTTTTTTTAAATTTAATGTTACAAACAGTTTTTTTTATTATGAATTAATAATAAAAACATGTTATAGAAAGAGAGAGAGAGAGAGAGAGAGAGAGAGAGAGAGAGAGAGAGAGAGAGAGAGAGAGAGAGAAAGAAGGAGAGATAGGTAGACAAAATTTTATTTTATTGCTAGTTTGCACGAAAAGAAATCCGATTACAAATTATCAGTTTTGAACGATAAGAGGTAGCGATGCTACGAAGAATAGTAGAGAAACACGACAAATAACGATGTATCGTTATCGCCAATCAGATTAACCCTTTAGTGCCAGATATGGGTCTCCCAGACCCATCCAAAAGTTTCAAACCGGTGTTTTTTTTGTTTTTTATTAAAAATAAAGTACAGTTATAAAGTAATAAAGTACACTTTAAGGATGAGACTGAAATAGCCTATGATAATTGGCCTTAAAACTAGGTTTATCGACTATTGGATAACAAACTGACGTGTCGTAGAGAGTGGTATGTAAAGGTACTACTCAAAAAGCGCGAGTGTGAATCTGTACGCGAAATTCAGTGATACGCTTCGTGATGATACGTAGCGAAGGCCAATTCCCGCCGACCGCGGGAGAATGTGTGGAAGGGGAAAAGGGGAAAGAGTACACTTGACATGAAGCTTGGGCGATGTTCTCCGGTACTAAAATTACATTTACAGGCGCATAGTAATAAACGTACAAAATAAATCTAAAGTATGTAGGCAGGCGAGAGACATGGAAACAACCGGTGTCTCTATCAGGTATTAGTTTAGTGCGACATATTTAAAGGCTATAAAAAAAACAAAAAAACTTTTGGGGTCTTAGACAAAGATAGAAGTCGTTGATAGCGTCATTCGTTTAATAGCTTTGCGAAGTTTGAATTTTGAAGTGCGAAAAAGGTCTGAGAGATCCAAGTCTAGACAAGACGTTGGCATTTTGAGAAGTAAATTTTTTTTTTTCACTTTGAACACTTCTAATATATTAAATAATTGATGTTTTTTTTACGATTTTATCAAAATATACGTACATTTATAGCGATTAGGTCATGGCGTGCAGAAACGTTTTCAACGTTTCTTTGAGGCTACTAGATATTTTTTCAATTTGGACGAAGAAATAAGGCTCTTGAAATTCTAAACTAAAATTAAATTGGTCAAAAAAAGTCAAACGCTGGATGTTTGTGCGAAACGAATATGAAACAAAAAATGTATATATATTTTTTTTTGTTTTTCGCAATATTTTAAAATTAGTTAAGGGAGTATACGGGGTCTCTCATATATGAGATGCAGATTTAGCGTTCTATATGAATTTAAGAATTGAAATCTCAATTCAAAAACTCACGTGTAATATTTTTTACATGTAAATTTTTGTCCCTGAAAGTACGAACAATTTCCTACAAAACGGCGTTGGAATTTTGTAAATCTTAAATACAAAAAAAATTTATAAATTTTTAAACAAAAAGCTTTTTTTTGAAAAAAAAACATTGTCAGGTTGTTTTTAAACACTTACATTTTTGAAACTACCGGAGATTTTTTCAACCTGATTTTCTTTTATCAACGCAGAATCGTTCAAACTTTCAATTAAAAAAAAAAGAAATTGAAAAAATATTGGATTTTTTTGCGAAGATATTCGATCTTAAAGTTGCGTGGATCCCACAGACCCAGTCTGGACAACTCGTAGTATCATTTTTTATGTCTGGCATTGAAGGGTTAAGACGAAAACACATTCGTAACGCTTCATGTTAAACAAATGAACAGTGGCCTTATTAATGATTCAAGCACATGTAACAAAAGTACATTGCGCACCAACGTATTATAGTATTCATAACACGTTACGTCAGCAAGCGTTACTTATATGTGCGTATACATACACGTGTGACGGGTCGGACGGTGAACTCGCTTTGAAAAATAAACAGCGCGAAAATCACGTAACGGCGGTTTATGTGGAAGAAGACGCGCGATAGAGACGACACAAGACGGTGATTCGTGCAAGCGAGGAAGAAACGCGCGCTCGAGTAGAGGTGGAAACAAACCTCTATAGATAGGTGTATGCCTCGCTACACCTGTGTGCGTGGACATAGGTATGTAATCTGGTGTCGCGACGAGATATACTTGTGGTTCGACTTGTGTTCTTTCACGCGTTGCCAACAAGAGAGCCTATCGATAATATCCAGCGCGCGCGAGTTCCCGTAACGTAATTACCGCGTGATTGCTCCGGTAGTTAGATCTGAGATTATTATTACGGACTGTGGATTTTGTCCTGTGACATCTTCCCATTTTATTATTCTCTTCTTCCACAAAAATGCCCGCGAATGTTTCACCGATTACAAGTTTGCGTTTGCACGCGATTTGTAAGAAGTAGAATCTCGCAAAAACACGATTATTGCGTGACTAATTATATAGTGCATTCTGTTTGCATCTGTTGCGAACAAACACCGGAGAACGAACACGTGACGTTCTCCTCGTGCGCGCACGAGGACGACGCGAACGTCGCTCTTTCGCGCGAACATCGACACTATGGCGAGTTATAGGGATTTCGAGACCGACTGGTCCATGCTCGGCTTTGACACTGAGAGTTGGACGCCGAACGGTGAGTTAATACAATTAAGTCTATTCTCTAACAAGAAAATCCGCGAATATCTGAAATTCTTAAGAAAGTTTTAGATTTTATCGCTCAGGGATGTCTGTTTATCTAGAGAAATTCATTCAAATGGTATTTTGATTACACTCGGAAGAGAATATCGGAAAACCTTTGTTTCAAGGTTTAACTATAGTTTCGGAGATTTAAATATCGAGATATGAGTATTTATCTAAAACAATAAAAGAATATATATATATCATAAAAAGTTATATACTTTACATACAATATTTTATGCTGTTTATAAATTGAAAAAAGATTCATGTTATCAGTTCCTGAAGAATCCAATTGAAGTTAACAAAACGTTGCGCAAAGTGCATGTGTATTGTTTGCTTATTATCGCCTTAAGTTGCATTGCAAAAGAGCGTTTAAAGGCTGGATATACCTATACATCTACGAACAAGCACCGAACGAACAGCAAGCGCGAACGTTCGAACATTCGCGTTCGCGTTCTGAAGTCGTTCGTTATAGCGTTCGCATTGTTTTGACGTATACTTACATTTGATCTGACGAATGATAATAAGACGAACGCGCTGTTCGTTCGTTTATGTGTATACCCAGCTTTAGAGCTCACAGCAATTTTCGTGACATTTGGAATTATTATCGACGATTAAACCGACAATCAAAATCGGATGAATAAATCGATCTCACATACGTGTCAATTGTCATACACTAGCGCTCAAAAGTATTTGCTTGTTTTTATAACTCTTTCAATATAAGAGACGATGAAATTTCATAGAATTTTGCAAAAATGTGTAAAATATTTGATTTTTGTTTCTCTTTCAAAAAGATTTAACATAGATATCATATTTGGAAAAACTAAATATTTTTTTCAGAATTTTTGTTTAGAAACTGAAAGTCCAATATTTTCATGTGATTTACTTCCAATTTGTTAGTCAAAAACTTGTTTTATAAAAACTTACTTCGTTTCGAAAGAGACATCCCATATGACAAACAGATTTTTTTCTGGAGGCACCTTTGAGATTGATAAAAAGCGATCTTTTTTGTTTTGTTTTGTTTCTTTTTTTCTTAAATATATTTACTTTTTCTAGCTAGATAATATTCATTTCGAAAAAATATAGAATCATTTAAAATCCATCTTCGTTAAGAAGAATACTTCACCGAAAAGTTATGTAGAAGCAATAAGAAATGTCGTAAGTTGCAAATGTAACGTCTATATTTCTGTATATTTATTTATACATTAACATAACGATTTGGCACTTATTCACAGATAGCATTTAATTTACATTGACGTTCGAAGGGTTTTTATGCAAGTATTTATTTTACGATTATAAATAAACTTTTAAGTGAAAAAAAAACTTAAGAAATCGGAGAAGTCTTGAGAACATTTTACCGAAATCTACATTTGTTTTTTTAAGGAATTATATAAAATAAGATATACCGTTTGTATGCGTTCAAAGTTCACGCCGCTCATTCCTGAGAAAGTTGCGCAACAACGTCGCGCCAAAGTAAGAAAAATAGAAATGCAGGAATTTATTGGACGGATCGACCGTTAATGCCCGCTGGGGACCCGCATCAGGCCTGCGGCCTGTAACTTTCTTTTCGATTAATAGAGGAAGATTGTATTACATTTGCGCAAAGAGAAATTTCACGCTGTAAACACCACGATGTGATACGAACAACGTCTGTTCTTTGAGAAAATTTTATTTAAGACAGTTTAATATTTGAGAAATATTTTTACAAACTGTATTTTTTATCGTGTAACTTAACGGAAACAAAAAATTGACAATAATGCTTTTTTTAAGCGCCTTGAGTCGGGAATGTTGTTCTAGACTACATTTTTCTCTTTTGCAAAAATTACGCCACTTCGAACTAAATCGCACGAGAGAGTAATTGCTTTACTGTGCGGCGAAAAAATTGTTTAAGTAAGGATGAAACAAATTTAGATATTTATAAGAGCATACACAGTTATATTATTATGGTGTTTTTAACAAAAAAAAACGGCGTAATGAAAGAAAATCGCTTGTGTGTTTTAAACCTTACGCAGAATTATGTTAAGCTCTTCTGTGACCAACATTCAGATTTATCCGCGTCAACCCACACAGTTTTCTTTTCGCCGCGTTTTGTCGCGCGCAAAAGTAACAAAATTCATGATGACATTTTATTTCATTGTCGTTTTTCTTCACAAAGCTGTTGTACAAATATTCGTTTCTTCTGTTTAAATTTGTTACTTTGAAACGCGCGCACGACACGCGAGCTCGTTTCTGCGGGAAACCTTGATGACATGTGAGAGATGCCTGTCACTTGTCGATCCACTTTTCCTCAATGGCTCGAATTGCTGAACGCACGTTGAATGCACGATCGCAATGACTCGACTCGTTCGCGCGGTGGATTTTCGAGTGTTACGATTGTGCGTGGAGTCACGTAATTGGCAAGTGAACGACAGCAACACTCGGCTTTCGTACGACTAACGAACAACAGTGGCGCACAGTCGAGATTCACATCGTGATCAAATATCGAGAGTTTAAATTGCTTTTTTTTTTTTTAGAACAGAAGAGAATTGCGAAGTTTCTTGTTGAGAGTCATTGCGACTTTAAATCAACTCTAGCTTCTTGTTTTGTCAAGAACATTACTGAACGATCATTGTGGCCATTGGTCGAAGATGTTTTCCGATGAATGACGATAGCGAGCGAGAGGATAAACGCATTCGAATAACAATGCGACAAGAAAATATTACAGTATCATTGATATAGCTTTGTTGTGTCAATTCGTTTGTCGAAATATACGCATAAAAAGGTGTCTGCACGGTAAAAAAAGATGTTAATTTTAGTTTGATTTCCTGGGACATAAAAAAATTAACGAAAAAGTTGAAGCTCTTGAAATTATTGAAAACGACGCGACATTTAAACGGTCAATGAGAATTGGAATGACGATCGCACGGAAAATTAAGAAATTTCAAAATAATGAATGAATTAAATTCGGGTTGTTTGAGCCGGTTTGCAGGATGTTGTGCAGAGAATGCGCTTAAATATATATATATGCATACACATATATTTAATGAAATAATTTTTTTCCTCCATATAGGATGCTGGATTTGCATCACGTATATATAGAGGACCCCGTATACCTCCCTAAGTAATTTTAAAATATTGCGAAAAAAAGCCGGAGATTCCAGGTTCGACTCCTGGCTGAGGAGTTTTTTTCGCAATATTTTAAAATTAGTTAGGGGGGTATACNGGGTCCTTCATATATACGTGATGCAAATCCNGCATCCTATATGGAGGAAAAAAATTATTTCATTAAATATATGTGTATGCATATATATATATTTAAGCGCATTCTCTGCACAACATCCTGCAAACCGGCTCAAACAACCCGAATTTAATTCATTCATTAGTTTAAAGACTTCCGAGCCTGAAGAATCTTATTCTTCTTTCATTATTAATTTGAAATTTCAAAATGTTTAAACAAAGAAATACGGTTCTTGAAATTCTAAACTAACATTAAATCGGTCATTCCGGGTTCGACTTCTGGCCGTTTTTTGTTTTTGCAATATAATTGAACCGGATAGGGGGAAAACGAGCATTTTTTTCTCACGTACGTGATACAAATCCACAGCATCCTATGTGAACTTACAAATTGAAATTTCAATTCAAATTCGTGTGTAAAAATTTACACTAAAAATTATATAAATATATAAATAATATATAAATATATAAAATTATATAAATATACATATATATATTTATTTATTTATTTTGCATGAACATCCAGCGAACATCATCTCATTAGCCGTGTAAATTTCGCGTTCCTGGAAATTATAAAAATGTTTGATTAACTCATTCATCACGTGTTACTTATTGACTAACTAGTTTTATTTATTGACAAACTAGTAATATTAAGTAACTGACACAATACTTCACATTTGTTATTTTGACTCTACGATGTAAAAATAATATATAAAATAATTAAAAAATAATTAAAACATAATATAAACATAATATAAACACATAAAATAATTGAAACATAATATATAAAACATAATATATAAAATAATTAAAAAATAATTAAAACATAATATAAACATAATATAAACACATAAAATAATTGAAACATAATATATAAAACATAATATATAAAATAATTAAAAAAATAATTAAAAACATGGAAGAGTTACAGTAAGAAATGTACTTAAAAAAAAACTACTTTTTGTGTTAAATTAACACATGATAGTAATTATTTTAACTTTGATTCTAGTATGATTTCTAGTAAATTTGATTATTTTGTATGTCAAAGTTCATAATTATTTTGAGATTTACTTTAACTTTTCTTGAAATGTTGAATTGACTTTGAGACATATAAGTTAATTGAAGTATTGTAATTGTGGTAAAAACATTCAAAATAATATTCCACTTTTAAGTGACTTAAACAAAATATTAAGTCACAAAGTTGACACAAATCCAACACGTGTTGTGTGTTAATTTTACATTGAAGTAATAATCAAAACGGAATAACACAAGAAATTGCGTAACCTCATTTTGATGAATGGACGCGCGACTTTTTACTGTGTATTACCTAAAAAAATCTGAAAAACGTTTGAGTATTTTGAAATTCTTGTTATCTGGAAATAATTTGAGCGCAAATAGATGTCTGTACGTAATCAGAGAATTAGCGAGAACAGTTTTGTTTTCCAAAATAAAGACGTGCGCGAGTTTTCTCCCGTCAAATTGAAAAAAAAAAAGAAAGAAACATATCAGAGCGCGCGCAATTTTCCTGTGGTTTACTGCGGCGGAAAAAATTTGGCGATCTTCGTCACGAGATAGGTCGTCGAGAGGTGAGAGATGAGCGGCACTCGCGGGTAAAAGCTCGGGGCTCGCGTGGCTGCGGGAATAGATAGATGGATAGATAGATCGGATCAGCGGTGGCGGTGTGAAATCGCCGTGATCGTTTTCTAACCGCAGAAACGGAAGACCGACTTTTCCGCGCGGCTCTCGCCGCGCCGGGACGTGGCAATGCACGCCGATAATTTACTTATACAGTGGTCGCGCCATCGTTGATATATAGGAATCAGCGGTTTCGAAGACAAATGAAATGGAAATGCGATTTACTCCTCGATAACACCTCTGGAGTTTTGTCGAAGAAGAAAAACCGAAGACAACACAAAATCTGTTTTGCAGCGATACGATATTCATTCCGCTCGATCGAGTCCAGTATTCTCCGAGTTGGAGGAAGTATGTAATTTCTGAGACGCAAATCGAGTCAGGGCTCTCGTATAAGTGGAATTCTATTGTGCTCCTTTCGTCTATCGCAATCCTAATCATTTGTCGATCCTGAGAACGCGGAGATCGGAAAAAGGAATCGGTTTCAATAGCCACATCCGCAGTCACACACACACTCACACACGCACACACTTATATCGGGTCAGAATAGTAATCTCTTCTAATAACAGGAAGCGCAATACGCTCTCGTATCTTCGCGAAGAAAGGTCACGTATAACGAAGAAGAGACCGGCGAGAGGAACTCTGCGAGAGAATCGCGAAAGTAGAGTACGTTCGATTCTGCCGGCAAGAAACGTTCCCTATCTATCTTCTGATTATATGTCATTAATAAGGCGTATCGAACGCAAAAATGATCGCCAAATAATTGCCAAAGAGAGACTCAAAATTTAAAGTCTTTCTTTGTAAAAGTCAGAAATTCTCTCTCTCTCTCTCTATCATATTATATTAAAAATACAGACTTTCGAACACAATGCGATCTCTGTAGAACAGCCCGCAGAGCTAAATATCGGTTAGCGAAACTTTAAACTTCCTATCCAGCAAGAACAACTTGGTGAAATATCCTTATCGATGATGATTGGAAACTCGCGCTCGCTCCGCAACGGGAAGAAACGGATAACGTTTAATATCTTTTGTACGCGGTGAAATTAGACCCAGAACAACAATTTGGACTTTCGACGATAGGAATCGTTGCGCGGTGACGGGTCAGTGACCATGTCAATTATGGATCATCTTATCGAAGCTAATCATAATTAGAAAATTTCACCTTTCTCCCCCTGGTCGATACAAGATTGAAGGAAGCTCCGTTTGAAAGACCCATCTTTTTGACACGTATATACTTGTAACGTGTGTTGTGCTTTATCTAGAACCTGTAAATGATTTGACGATGACGGAATGTTTTTATAAGTAAAAGATACACAAAAGATACATACAGGGTGTTTGTGTTACTTTCATTACTAGCCAGCAATTTTCTCGTAAACGGTAAGTATGTTGAATAAATGAAAGAGAAAAGAGTTTTGCTATTTTTTTTATAGTAAACATAGTAGCGTATATTTTTTTATATTTGCAATAATTTTCGAAAAACGAAACTGACTTAAGTTTTTTTAAATAAAATGTTACATTATGTACATATTTTACATTTACATTTTTTTGCATTATATGAGAGCGTACATCACGAAAAATTCAACAATTGTCGTATACTATGAGCTTTTAGATTATAGAAGGTCAGGAATAAAAGAAATAATTCGAATATATACATATGAAGTGTAGTGTGAAAACGAAGATAGTAATACATATATAGTGTTATTTGATATCGCGCGTTGGTTGTGAGAAAATGGAAACCGGTTTTCATAGAAGAACAATTAATTATCGTCGCAGCGATGAGTCCAAGTCTTCTTGAAGAACGATGTTTGAAGTTTATATATATATATACACATATATATAGGTATTGCCAACTGAGTGTTTTTTTGCAAATCAGGCAAACGAACATCGCGCATACGACAACCACTGATTATTTATAGACTTAGTTAATCGGCAGAGATAGTCCGCGATAACTTGCAAGTTATTACACAGGCGGATTTTCAAGATACAGTACAATCATACTGTACCGTTAACGCACGTGTGAAATTATACTTGCTGCCATGAAGATAAAAATTTTTTTGTCCAGATAGAAAATCAATCTTACGACGCACGTGCGTGGAAACTGCGTGTCAAAGAAAAAACGGGTTTATTAGCTCATCATGTTCTATCAGCTGACAATACTTTTATGATACTCAGATCTCGATTAACTCTTCCTAAATAGATTCTAAAAAACAGCCTAGCATTTGGACAGATTGAATCTGTGAGATTTTTAAAATCGATTATTTCCGCGACAATCGATTATTTTCTGTTTTTTAAAATTTATTTATTAAAAATTTGAGCAATTCTGATGTCCATCAGAAAAATATATTTTTTTGTTGTACAGCACATTCTATGCATTCATAAGAGCGATGCTCCTCACATCTCGGCCGCTTACACGTGCAACATATATATTGAGTTTTTCTGTCAACATTGCAAAATACACATCGTTTTCTTTTTTCTAATTTACAATCCACAGGATCATATTGCATTGTGATTGGCATTTCAATACCAAAAATATGATTAATCAACAGCTTCAGGTTTTTCCGCAGAGTTTGTGTCTGCATTCTCTGCTGGACGAAAGGTGTTAAAAGCGCCATAGTTAAATTTTGTACGTATTTGAATCTAATTAACGATTCATTTTCGATGTTTAGTTGATATAAAACAAAGCTATTTACAATCGCATAGTCGAGCATTGCAAAAAATATTCTCAATGGCCAACGGCGAGTTGCTCGTGCCGTGGAATAGTCATCACACAGCTGGTCAAAAATGGCCGTTCCTCTCTTATCACAGATGACTTTCCGCCCGGTATTATAAATAGGCTCGCTTAGCTTTCGAATACAGTAAAAAGAAACGGGCTCGTTTGCTTCTGTTGTCATTTTTCCAACGTACGGAATCGCGTTAAACATGTAGGAAGTCGCGGAATCGTTAATCGTCACGAGTTTTATACCACATTTATGCGGCTTATTTCTAATATATACTTTAAACGCACAACGACCGCAGAAGGATACCAATTGTTCGTTGATCGTGCAGATTTGATGCGGCGAGTAGTAATTTTTACAGTTTTCGACGAAACGTTCCCATATGTCTCGAATTGGCGCAAATTTATCATCTGTCCGCCTCTCCCGACGAGTTCTTTGATCATCGAAACGAAGACAAGATAATATAAATTTAAACCTATTTTGCGACATTGTTGCTCGGTATATAGGTGACCCCAAATTTGACCACATCTCTGCGGTATCAGAATTATTCTTGCTGGCTCCGGCAAAATAGAGAAGGCCTATAAATGCACGGAACTCCATCATAGTTAGAAAAGAATATGTCTTATCGGCGTCACGATATTCTGTTGCGGTTCTACTTCGAACAATTTGCTCATTTGTTTGTTTTAGAATTATTTCTAAAATTTCGTCGTTAAATAACAGGCTCCAAGCATCGATCGGCCTGGTAACGCGCTCTGCTCCATTTTTCCCTTGGGGTAAATGTATCTTCGTACTTAAGCTGCCGTCGCCCCGCTGTTTGGGCGCACGAAGGTTCGATTTATATCTGAAAATTTCCATAAAAACCGGGAATTACAAAATTGTAAAATCGCATAAGCTAAGAAAAACTATATGATAACCGCCGAAAATAAATATTTCATGTACATTTCTTGCCCGAAACTTTTCGAAGTTGGAAAGATTGACGATCTTTACAGCCGAAAGAGAGTATAATTATCCGAAATTACAGAGAAATCGAATTATTCTCCGTGAGACCGTCGCACATGATAACAATCCTCCGAAAAACATCCGCGAGCACGGATTCCCCGCAATCCGAAACAGCTGACTTGCTCGAGAATAGAATTAAATGTATAGGATTTTGAATTTAAAATTCAAACATCGCGCGAGAGCTAGAAAAATCAAAACATACGCAATACCGAGCGCGAGACTCGGCGAGCAAGAAGCTATACTACCATTTCCAAAAACTGAGACTGAGAAATAAATTTAACATTTTGTGGACAGATCTCAAAAAAACAATTGAATCTGTGAGATCCTTACGACTTTAAAATTAAAGATCTCCGCGAAAAATCAATATTTTTTAAGTTTTTTAAATTGAAAGTTTGAACAAGTAAAAAAAATTAAAAAAAAAAAAATAATTTTGAAGCGAATATAAGCGTTTAAAAAAAAAACTAATTTTTACTAGAGATGCCGATGCACAATTTTTGAGTGGGTCTTGGAGATCCACGTCTGTCCGCGAAGGATTAATTTTTCGAAAATCCAAAATTTGTATAAAATACAAATTTGTATAAAATACAAACTACCGAAAAAAAAGAATATTTTTTCAACAATAACAAAAAAGATACTTGTTTTTCTCCTTAACCCTTTTTCGAGTCCGTGACGGCCTTGGCGTTGACATTTCCGCTTCTGCCTGGGTTTCTTCCTGTCTGGCAGGATTTACATTGTCATCATCAGACGATCCTACGTCTGTCTCTTGATAAGAGAAGTCACTCAAAATAACGTTCTCCTCGGATTCCGAAGCAGAATCGAAATATTCTACAGGTGGCACTTCCAGAAGTCGCAAATCGCATATTTTGCGCGCCATAACTAATAAATCGCTGTAAATGTACATAGATTTTTGACAAAGTACCATAAACTTATGAGAAATATCAACTTTTTACATTAGAAATGCTCAAACTGGAAAAAAATTAACTTGCCTTTCGAAAAACTCAATGTTATGGACAGATTTTGATCTGCCTTTTCACACTTCACTAGTGAACACTCGCATTACTCGCAAAACTATTGAACGACTGACGCTGTCAACGTCCTCTAACCTTGTTTAGAATCCTAAAGTTTTTTTCAGAGCCCTCAGATGTCGCTCGAAACTAATTCCTACTAGAGATACCGGTTTGAAATTTTTGGGTGGGTCTGGAAGATCTATGTCAATCCACGGGTTTAATACGCGTTGAAAACTCGATAACGAAGATATTATCTGGAAATATTGAAAATTTTTTTCTCAGAAAAATCTTTATAAGTTCCGAGTTTATCTGGAAATTTGAACAAAACTAGGACACGCAAAGCGAGATTAATAAGCAAGTTATAGAACTTGCAAATATCTCAATAACCGAGACACGTGTGGATATGTCGATGTCTGCGTAAGAAAGCGCGTTAACGCGCTGTACACGTCTATATCAAGGGGCGAACACTATTTTTCTATATAAATAAAATTCTTTTTGGTCTTGATAATTATAGTGATTCATAAAAACCAGAAACGTTTTTTAACATAAATTATTAGTGTATTTTTTAAATATCATGTTGCTATTTTATTTTATTTATGGAGTTTTAGTTATAAAAAAATATTTTAGCCAACAATACGAAGTTACGTATTCTAAAGTTTAATTGTTTCTGACTGCAGAAATTGCCTTTTTGCTCTTAATAGATTACTTTTTATTTTTCATTATATTGTTAACAATTTTACGATATATTTTATGTTTATTGTGTATTATACGTTTATTTTATGTTTATTATTTATCATTGTTTATAAGATGTTGAGTTTTCTAGTTTTATTTTAATTTTTGTTAATTAAAACAATTCTTCTAATTAATAATAAATAAAACATTTTACATATAAGTATTACGGATTATTATAAATAAAAGATAAAAACTTTTAATAAAGATTTGATACAAAATATAATATAACCTTAAATTATGATTTATAATACTTTGAATAAAAAGTTGCTCAACTAATCTTTCTCTTATCTGTACATAGATAATAAAAAAAATTTTGAAATTTGAGTAGAGACATTCTCCGTAACTTTATCACTATGGCGGAACAAGATGATAAAAAAAAAAAAACAAAACTCGAAACTAGGCGCGTCGCGCTACGAAACATTCGTCGGTGCATAATGAAACGTTTATCCCGCTTAGCATAACGGGACAGGTGAATTACTCGAAGTATCACCCGGTCCGAAACGGACACGCTCGCGCGTATATGCGCGCATGAATGCACGCGCAAAATGCAGCAGCGTGCCGATGTCAGCGCATAACAAATGCCGTCCGCGATTTGCAGGAAACGTTGATGTCACGATGAAAACTGCCGATTTCCTAAATCACTTGTAACACGCTCCAGTGCCATCGGAAATTTACTTCTTTCTCGTTCTCGCGCGATGCAATCAAAACGATGTTGTATGCACACGTTGTTCTATTTTTTTTCCGAATTATCCAAATTTAACCAAATTTTCAAACTTTAATTAAATCGGCAAAAGTGTAATAAAGTAGTGGTGATGTGTGCGTGTACGTATAAAAATCTCTATTACGCAATGTAAAATAATATAACGCGAGAAAGTATAAAGAGAATCTATATATAAATTATACAACGCAACATGATGATATACACACGGTGTTCGTTTGTGTACGTATCGTGCGAAACATTGTAAACAATATGAATACAAACCGAACTTTCTCCTCAATCTTTCTCCCGACCATACATCATCTTTTTTCGTATATAAATTTCAAGCAGAATAAATAAATTTCGGAGTAACATCAGAATCATAACGAAGTTACTAATGTGTTACGCGTAACGCGAGTATAAAATAGTGCCATTAATTACGCCATAATGAAATAATCGCTGGCCGACGTAACGTCCATTTACCTACATCTTTCCTTATTCCGCCTGTTTCATCACGACAGTCATTATTATTTATTGCATCGACGTCGTAATTTCTCCGCAAGTTTCCGAGGAAAGACGCAGGGAAGAACGCGTATATATACTTCCAACAACACCAATCACACCGCATATTTTTTCTTTAGATTCATGCGTGCTCATTGGAGAAATCCTCGCGTGAATATCTGTGAAGCACGCAATTCACACAATGGATAAAACAAGTGTTGGGGCACGTTTCCATTTTTTCGCGATATATATTTTTGTGCGCAATAAGAAATGTATTACAAAATGTGTGTATGCAATTTTACATAAAAAAGCATAAAATGTGCATCAATGTACGCTTATTTCACTTACTGTATTCTGACACGAAGATAACGAATCGCCGATTAATTAATGACTCGAATATATATCGGACCGACCCTCCACCTTACATCCGAAGCTTACATACGACAACGCGATAGCGCAGACGCCGCGTGGCAGCGAGCTGTTATTGATCGGTGCTCGTCGGCACGTCATACGCCGTTGTGTTTCACGGCAAAACGGAGGTGCGGGACGGACGGTCGGTGTTCGGCTCCGGTGGACGGAACTCGCGGGGCAGTGCCGGTGATGCCAGTCGGTCGGAGTGACAACGCCTGAGAGAGTGAAGAACCGCGTGCGAGCTGTCAAAGCTGTGAGGGATCGTTTCGGATTCCGGTCGTGGAAGAGTCGCGAAAACCGATCACAGCCGCGCGAGATTTATTCCCGAGGGAGAATCGTCGCGGTGTTGACGAGCCGGCCGCTGAGTCCAAGAGACGATCGGGACGCAGTCGTTCTGGAAGCGACGAACGCACCGCACCGTCCGCGGGCAGGTGGCGTCCGGGAGCAGCTGGAGAAAGTGACGTTCCGGCTCGTGGCCGGCGGCTTCCCGCGAGTTGACCGAGGCCTGTGAAGATCGCTTCGTCGAGGTCCCGCTCGTCGATTGGCTGGCCCGCGGCCGCACGGCGATTGTGCACCAATAGCGCCGCGAGCGCGCGGGCCAGGCGGCCCCTGCAGGTCTCCCGTCGCAATCCGCTGGTCACAGCGGATCCGTCGACGCCGCTCGGCCGCATCGAGAAGACGAGTACGCTGTAGACGACGGTCTCCGGCGTCGAGAGAAAATGAGCCTGTTGTCCTCTTCCATCGGCGGCGTCCGCTTCCATGCGGACGACGACGCCGATCACAACATGTTGCAGGGTAAAAATCTTCAACTTCTTTCCTTATTGATTGCATGTGCGCCCGCATCGAACCCCCGCGAAAGATCGATTATTTATGCTTCTCGTTGATTGATACTCCGTTTAATAAAAACTTTAGATTTTTTAATTTTTCTTCAGAACAATTCGTGTGTGTGTGTGTGTGTGTGATTAATACACACCTATTATTTTTTCGGAACTATTAGTATCGTTTGGTGTCAAGGCCGCAATTGCCTCGCCAAGGATGCGCAGGTGCGATCGGTGCACCGAAATTACGAGACTCATTTTCGAGGTCGACCTCGAGACGCTTGGACGCGACGCGACCGATCGATAAGGACGCTCGAGCTGCACACACACACACACAGCAACAAATGAATATTCGGAAGCAACGTGAGCACAAAGTCCACTTTTAAATGTTGCTTCTTGTTGAAATACAAATTACAAGTATTATCTTCGGAATGTGCAAACAAGTCTCGACTTTTACGTGAAAAGTGTCACGAGAAATAAAATTGCGCAATCAAATTTGTTTTATAACTTATCGTAACGCGCATTCTTCAATTTTTGGCATTTTTTTGTTTGTTTCTCCCCGGAACTTGAAAAATTACCGTTGCGTATTACATCAGGGCGGAACGACCCTAGCCGAGATAGCATGACTCATCGATTTGTCGCGCAATACGCGTGTGTACTCGCCGTTGAATTCACAGACGCTGAGTGGAAAGCATCCGAAGAATCAGGCTCTCGAAAGTATTTCTTTATGATTACATCTTCACTGAAACATTTTGAATTTTTTCGAAAGATGGAGACTCAAGGAAATCGATTATTTGAAAAAAGAAATTTGATATTTCAATATGTTCTATTTCCTGACGAAGTGAAAACTGAAGGAGTTTTTTGACTGGGACGAACTTTTTAAACTGATTTTTTAATATTTCTTTTTTTTTTCAAAGAAAACATTCTGATTGCATGTTTATTTATTGCCTAAAATGCAAATTGTTGCATTTCAAAAAAACCACTTCTCAATTATTTATATAATTTATTTACTTTATATAATTATACTATTATTTATTTACTTTATATAATTTATTTACTATATCTCTAATATGAATATTTTTGTGAGTTAAAATATCATTAATTACATTTTATATGTGAATTATTCAAATCAGAAAATTCATCGTTCAGCGTGTACAAGTTTCATCACTACATCTCGCTGACTGTCGGTCTCACTGATTGACTCTTGAACCTGAGATTATTGTGACGTACCGCTAAAAGAGAGAGAGAGAGAGATAAGCAGCAGTTAAACGCGATTAAATTTTATCGCTGCGAGCGCGACCTTACTGTTATTTTTGTTCTCCGCTGAACTGCAGTCGATTGGTTCTTGAATAGGCGCTGGTTATGGAAGTTATTTTTGTCGCTGTAAGTAAAACGCAACCACGATCAATTTTCTATCGAAATCGAACTTGTTCGCTACAAACGTGTTTCTCTTTTCTCGCATGACGTATAAAACTTTATGCGACGCATAAATGCGAGATGAAAAAAAGCTCGACGAAATCTGCACGCTCGTAGCACGTTGTTGTGCGCGACGAGAGGATTGCGTGTGATGCCGAAAACACGAGTTTTATGATTATTGATCGCGGCAGGAGTATTTTAGATCGCGGAGTCTGCGCAGCTGATGAGCTCGGCGAATCGCGACATCGTTTAAAACAGGCTGCGGGCGACAGAAACTGTGCAGTAAATTCCGTCGCAAAAAGCGTCGAACGACTTGCTTGTAAATTGTTAAAAGAGGTTTGAAACGCGCGAGAAAAGACTCTTGTGTTACGACGAGTTCGTTTTACAGACTTAATTGCAATTATGATCGCGCGATTATCGAACTTGCTTTTCCGAACGAGCAATCCGATAGTAATAATAATTGTTGATCGCGAGCGTGGCACTATTAAGCTATTAGCGTATAATAGCGCGCGCATAATGGAGCGCGGCGCAAGATAAATAAAAGCGCTGATGATTTATGCAAACGACTCGCGCCATTGCCGGTTGCGTTCTGGTTGCTCTTTCCTTTCGCGGCTGGCATACCTAATATCGCAGAGCCGGGGAAGGAAATGACGGTCGCGCATATTTATGATTCACGCTCGGGGCGCACTCGCGCGTGCACCAGCTCTCTTGAACCACGCTCGCCGTAAAACTGGCAGTATGTGGGGCACAAATAATATGCGGCACGACCGACTTGGGCGCTGTAATACCTCACGATAGTGACAGACGATTAATCGATAATTACACGCAAAGAGAATTCGTTTGGGAAATTTATTAGCAATTTAAATTGATGATCAGTACCTACCTGATGAAGTGTTGAAGCTGATTTTTCTAATCCTAAAGAAATAATAAAGTCAGGAAATTTGATAAAGATAACTTTTATTGTAAAAAAAAGAGAACAAAAAAACATCGACAGTTTGCGTTAAACTGAAATGGAAAGTCAAAGTGAATAAAAACGTGTAGCGTGTCTTCGATATCTAAGGGTTAATCACCCTGGGAGGCGAAACCCCGCTTGCTGGGTTGCCATGAAACACCCTTTCTGTTGTTTTCCATATATATTCACTTATCGATCACTTTAATGCAATGGTTCCTACTCGCAGACGATGATGACTGAACAGTTTGATCGAAGGGAAATGACAAGAGAGAAAGCTGAAAAGAAAAAAGAAGTACTATATTGATTTCACTTGTCTGGTTTAATGCGATTTGTATTGAGACGAGCGATTAAGCGACGATAACATTATCGTTCAGTCAGCATGTAATGATTGATTCACGCGGTAGCACTTTGATCAAAAAATATTATCTTTCATATATTCATTCATTCATATATGCATTCAAAAGAGACAATTTTATTTAGTTATAAGATAAAAATATATTAGTAAATATATCTTTCTAGTTACTGATATATTTTATAACTATAAAAATATATATAAATATATTCCTGAATTGACTTCCAAAAATGATCTACGAGTCAAACTGCGTCTGTAAAACCCACGCGACTTTAAAATCGAATATCTCCGCAAAAACTCAATATTCTTTCAATTTTAAATCGGAAGTTTGAACAATTCCGTGTCAATAAAAAATAAATAAATAAATAAATTGAAAAAATTTCTAGTAATTTTGAAGTTTGAACAATTCTGCGTCAATAAAACATAAATAAATAAATTGAAAAAATCTAATAATTTCGAAGATACAAGCGTTTAAAAAAAAAAACGCTAATTTTTACTAGAAACGCCGATACGCAAATTTTGAGTGGGTCTGGGAGACCCACTGTTCCGTTTGACACGCTATCTTATCCGAAAATCAGTGTTTATTGTGTCGAAATTCTCCGATAGACACCTACTTTAATTTTCGATTTCGAGTAAATGCGAGTTTCTCCTGACCCGCACCTGTCGATACTTGATGAACGCAAATATACAATTGAAGCTATATCGTACGATCTGCTCACATTGTTCCGAAATAATAGAATCGATACTTCAATCTCCAGTCCACGTCTCAATAGGTCGGTACTCTATAAAGACAACTCTATTGTTGCGCCGACAACTTCGCAAAAGGAGAGGAAATTAAACTTTCTCGCCGCGCGTCGTTTGTAATCGAATTATTAGACATGTTGGTTACATCGTCGTTACTCTGATAAAGCAATCACCAATTGTTCTTCGCATGCAGGTTTTAAACTTTTTGATCAAGCTTGCTCGCAATTCTATTAAATCAGTGACAGAGCGACTTCGAAACTTTATAACTAGAAATCGGGAACGGGAAGAACGCAACGCTCACATCGAAGATAAGACGCGTGTTTTTAGATTCCTTGCTAGTTATTGACTATCGGTTTTACAGTTGTGCTAATTATAATGTATAATTTTTATTAATTTCAATTCTTTTCGTCCGATCTAGTTTTGTCGCTGGACAAGTAGCTTTGATATTTTTTACTCGAATCCAGCCTTTATCTCTGTGTTTTGCCGGTGAAAGCCGGTCTGTGATAAGAACATTTTCACCCTAATAAGGGGAGCTGGAAAGATTCGAATCTTTCGATGAAGTTACTTTCCGAGTACGAGAGAATTTGTTCGAACCGTAATGTTGCAAATCCTTTCACCCGTATAGAAAGTATTAAAATTGTATGTCTCACCTTCGGTCGAGACGGCATTTAAATTATAATTAATTGAATGGTAGATACCGATATCAATGTTAATAATGATTTACGACTTTCGAGCTGAGCAGTCGGTGAAAGGAAGAAGTGATCCGATTTTGCGAAGGTTCCATGTCGATCACAATCAGCATGTTGTACCTTACTCTCGCGTACAAGTG